GATTCCAAAAATAATATTATATACAGAGTGTTCCATTTGAAAAATCAAAGTTGCTACTGCTTTCTAATAGAAGCGGCAACACCGCATTGTCGAAAATATTTCAGTTGGCTAGAGAATGTCCGAATATGCCCTCCATTAAATTTTCAAAGTGATCCGTTGTCTGGTTCACCAGAAACGTCTAATGTGCCATCCACCGTGAATCAGCCTGTATATATCTATGCTTTGGATTGTTTTAAATACGAAAATAAATAGGTATCTGATATTCCTTGATGAAGAATAACTTACTTCACTTGTGGACTGCATCCTGGATGCTGTATTAACTGTGTCCCCAAAGAAACAGTACCTAGGTACTTTGATGCCTACCACACCGGCAACCACTGCACCAGAATGGACACCTGGAGGAAAAACAATTGACATTTGAAGGATGTGCCACAAAAAGGACAATATGACAAAGAGTTGAACTGTTACAAAATTAACGAAATATTACAAAACTGAGCGTAATTACGAGGTTCACGGTTAGAACTAGAAAAGGTGGTAAGACTGGATAAAGCCAACTGTTTTGATTTGAATGGATTTTAGTAGACTCATAAAAACGGTTGGATCTTTTGAATCATCATACCAACCATACCACCAGAAAAAAAAATCATACCAATTCTAACATCCACTTTCGTGCCTGATGGGATTTTCAACTGCCTGACGTGTTTTACCATGCAAAGAGAAACGTCTGCGATGTTTTGAGCATGATCATCATTCTTGTCTGGCGCTCCACAAACTGCCATGTAGATTTGTCCAACTGTTTCGACCTTGAAAAACAGAATATTAGATGAAACCAGAACCAAAAGTGTCGTATTCGAGTTCCCATGCAAGACAGCTCTGTCTCACAAGGTCTCACTAGTAGTACTCGAGTGGATCACGATTACAACTCTCTAGGCAGTGTATTTCTCACTGATTTATCACCTAATTGTTTTCTCCGAATAGAGTTTTGAAAGCAACAGCTGTTGGAACGAGCAGAAGAATCTCAGCAATTGAACTTACCTTGTATACGTTGAATCTGTCCATCAGAGAGTCGAAGCAAGAAAAAACTGCGTTCATAGTGCTCACAAGTTCCATGGCGTCTTCTACTGTTGTGGAGTTGAAGCCAACCAACTCGCAAAACATGACGGTTACAGCTTCAAAAGACTGAAAAATATCACATACAGAGTGTCAGTTTGAACCTTCCCACCCTTCATGTTCCTCTACCAGGAAACCATTCATAGAATTTGAAACCTTCATTTACGATTTCTATATTTTTCCTAGGAGAAAGGTGTTTTCAAACTAACACCCTGTACCCTGAATATTATAAATAGGGTTGATGGGAAGAAACAGTCATAGTCACAACCTTCAAGGAGTTCTTTTCAGTTGGGATAGTCATTTTTACAGTATTTCTTGCCAAGAAGTAGGTACTTCACAAATTGAAACCATCCAAATGTCCAAAATTTGAGATTATGTTCAACTCACTTCGCATGTGCTTAGAGGATTGCTACCAGCTCTCAAACGGTCTGCCACTGGTTTGGGAATCATCGAGTAGAGTAGGTCATCTCCACGTCGTTTCCATGTATCCAGGAGACTGTGATTGTTCTCCAGTTCCGTTGCTCTCTGTTCGGCCTTATCGAACACCAGCTGAAGCCTGTGAAAGATTAAACGTTCATTCGTCATAGAAAAAAGGGTTTCAATAAATGATGATGCAGAGGATATCTTTCTGAGTCTATGTCTTCTGATTTCATTAGGTATGTATCACCAGATACACCAGATAGAGGTGTTTCGACTTGCCATAAGTTTGTTTGAAAGTAGTCGACAATGTTTCATGGCTTGAAACTTTGGCCATTGAAGAAGCCCACAAGAAGCCCCGGTTGAGATACGTAGACGACACCTTCATAGTATGGAACCATGGGAATACAGAACTAGACCTCTTTCTGAAGCACATCAACAGCGTGAAACTTTACATCACCTTCACAATGGAGAAGTAGGTCCACAACGACACTGACATTCTTAGACGTATTGGGGAAGAGGACCGACACTAAGTGGGAAACATATCTATACGGAAAACCCACTCACACGTTGATAGTATCTGAATCACGAATCTAACCACCATCAATCTACCGAAAGAGGGATCACCAGGAATCCAGTGGATCGTGCTTTCGGGTTCTGTAATACGAAAGAAGGTCTCGAGAAGGAACCAGGCGTCAACAAAAGAGATCTTCAACGAAATGGTTACTCCAGAGTGATGGTGCTTGACTTCCAAGAAAGAGAACTAGTTACAAACGGTGCTTGCCCTTCCCTACGCCAGAAGACTGTCAAAGGATAACCTGCTTCAGATCCGGAAACACCGCCCGTAGCAGCCTCACGAAAACCAGGTCACCAAACGCGGACTGCGATTCCAAGAATTGCATTTATCGAATACCCTGTCTATATCAATGAAACTATGGAGCCATTGAAAGTGCGCATTGTCGAGCGCAAGAGAGATACACAGCGCAGCGAGGAGAAACCAGAAAATCGGGAGAGCATGTTTGGACTCATCAATAGGTGGTCCCAAGCTGAGACCGTTCACAGAGAGGAACACTGGTGTAAAATGAAGTTTGAAGAAGCTGCATAAATGTTGTCCACCGACGCATTCAGCCAAGCTAGCGTAAAGATACTCAACTAACTCGCAACGTACTCCGTTACAACTTTTGTGAAGTTGCGTCGGAGTTTTCAAGAATCGAAGTGAGAAAACTATGCTTACTTTGAATTATGTTGCCAACCAGCCAGCACCATTTCTTTACTCAGCCCATGAGGATTCAGATCATTCAAGTAAAGTCCTTGGTCTGGTAATTCGTTTATATCGTTCACGCTGGAAAAGACAACGACATTTTTTTCAAATTGTAGCCGGAGAACTTAAAAAAACCATAATGGTGTTGAGATTTTTATAATGCTAATACGTACACAGGGCTACACAGGAAGATAATACTGTTAATATCACCGAGAAACATCATTTGTCCCTTCAACAAAATATTTCTCAGACCTGGCTGGCTTTCTCTACGTAGAGCATAGGGAGAAATGCTTTTGCCATCGATTTCGATATCTCTGTTACTTAAATCGTCTCCCAAGTTATCACCGTTTTCATCTGCCTTATTCTCCTCCATCCTTGTCTTTATCAACTCAACTCTGAGGACTTCTATTTCGAACATCACGGATTTCAGGTAGAACGCCTGCAAAACAGAAGAAACAGAAATCTTTGGTTGAAGTAAGAAATCATTACACATGCGTATTCAATAACTGGCGCGATAAACTCAAATTTTTATGACAGTCCTTTCTTCTTCAAGTGAAACACGAAAATAAAAAGCTTAACGTGTGTTTATTCAAAGAAAGCTCGTGTTTGGATGTTAGCTTGAACTCGGTATAAAAGAGATAATTATATGAACGTGGGCCGGAGTCCAAATCGGCAATTGATGACGTTTGACACAGCTTTAATCGATATTTTGTGAAACCACTAAGTCGATTTCGATAATTGGTCCACTGTTTGAAAGCTACATTATCCGGAGGTAACCTATGCTACTTTTCATCATGATAGCCCCTCGGGATCGGCTTCTATGCGGGCCACTCAATTATATTTTATGGAGAGCAGAATATATTCAAGTTATTGTAGGTGGGGTACATAAAGAACATTTTTAGTAACTTCTTTGGTTATGAAATTTTGAATCTGACAACTAAAAATACCTAAACCCCTGAGTCATGGACTAGATTCACGGTGAAATCATAACAGAATTGCACCTGTGCGATGTCGAGGCTGATCGCTAGAGGAGTGTATGATTCTGAGAACTTTTTTGTTTCCTTTAATTTAAAGAATACTGAACAGTGAAATTGAAACAGCTTCGGATATTGCTCCCGATTGTTACGTGAGAAGCTGACTACGCGAGCTACGGGAGCTTCATTGATAAACACACCGCGGTAACGCCCACTTTACATGGAACATACATTAGATTATTGCAATTTTCATTGCATTTCTTCAATGGTGTAGCTTTCTATATGATTAATTTGAACAAAAAGTTTTTACAACTGATAAACCACGGGCCTTTCACATTTCAAGGTAAATAAATTGTATGCCACGTCGTTTCGTTTCCATTACTTTGTCAACGTTTCGAATTTACAAACTGATGATGCACGTGTAAAGATCCTTGGATCGCACTGTAATGCTACTAACATTTTGCCAAGTGAAGCTGATTCCCTTCGGCCTCCTCAGCTTGAAATACTTCGTGAAGAGTTGACCTAAGAGTTTTTCTTTTCCTCCCGCAACTTCGACGAGTTTTCCCCCGCATCCTGTGATGGTGAGAGTCGGGTTGAAAATTATCGCAAAGGGAAACAGTTCGAGCAGCAAATCGCAAGAGAAAGCTGGTAGGTGTCTGTCGATGAAGGAGGTGGTTTCTCGATTTTTGCTGCACATCTGAAAGTATATATTCAATACAGTAGCTTATATCACAGATGATAATGTAAGATAGTGCATTGTCGAAAGAAACAAGTACTACTCTTTGTTTGAAGGTGATTGACAATGTTTCATGATGAATTTCATTAGTTCGGATTTCCATTGTCTGATATCAAATAAAATGATTTGAAATCCCTCAGAGAACTAATTAAAAAAATAATTGAAAATGAGTAGCTGAAAAAAAAACAGTCATATTAGGTTAAAAAACCATAGATGAAATAACACTGCGAACGGCGGCGAATCGACATTTCACAGTCATCACGAACACTGGCGGACACAGCCGCAATATTTTCTTCGTTCATCACTCTACGTATGCGTGTTGGTGGTTTAATGTCCAATAATGTAAACTGGGTTCGAAATTTAGTCACAAGCTTCCGAATAGCTCCCTCAGTAGGCTGACGAAACTGCCCATAAATTGGAAGAAGTGCACGATGCTCTTTCTTCATCGAGCATGAATTTTGATAATAAAAATTCAATAATTTGCAAGCGTTGTTCATTCACGATTCACGCCTGATCTGTCACAAACAGTGTTGCCAAAAATACTAGCAAAAAAATCACTCATTACTATTTTTACTTGTATTTTATTTCACTGTCATGTCATTTCAGGTTTTTTTGCTTAATATAATTGCTACTTTCAGCTATTATTTTTCAATTCTTCTTTTTTATTAGCTGAAATAGCCGAAAATAACAATTATATTAAGAAAAAACCCTGAAATGAGATAACAATGAAATAAAATACTATTTTTACTTGTATTTTAGCTGAAAATAACAATGGAATGAAATACAAGTACCTAAAAATAGTATTTTATTTCACTGTTAATTCATTTCAGGATTTTTTTGCTTAATATAATTGGAAATGTTCCTCCTGACGAAAATCAAGTAGTTTTCATAAAAGAGCTCTAAAACAACGCATTTCAAACTTATCATTTCAACCTTTTTCTTTAAAATGTGATGAATGTAATTTTGTTGCATTCATTTCTGTAGTTTTATCCATTTTGCTGCACCAACTTGGAAAATAAACATTACTATTATCATTAGGGCTGGCCATGATAATTTTACGATATAGTCACAATGTTGTGTCAAGCAGCTCATTAATATCATTTAGGAGTCTGGCACAGCATTAATAATACTCAAAATGAACTGTAACGGGGCATTAGTAACATAAACACGTTCTTATTTGCAAAATATAACTATTCCCAATTTGCTGTTGCGGCCTTGACACTTTACAAACCAGACCATCAATCTTTGTGGGAGGCCAATTATTTACTGAACCGATGAGCAATTTCTCACTTTAGGGTGTTTTCTTTACAGGGTAATATTCACGTTTATTTTGAAATTATTTGTTTTCTTGGGAAGATCCATAAATTTTTTCTATGGAGATGGAGAAGTAGAAACCTGAAACCATTCTTTCTCATAAACTGATCTCTACTAAATAATGAAATTGATGCATGAATACTTTATTTTGAAGTGAAATTGACAGAAGAAACTTTCAAGATGGCGACTTGGCCCATCTGGGAAAAAAAGTTGAATAGAAAGGGGGTCTTGTGACACACCATTTTGAAGCTCCTGACAAATACTTCACAACCCTAGAATATAAAGTCAATACCTTCACCTACTTCAAAATGGCGGATCATTTAATAATTTCCTGAAGACAAACACAATAACATCGATATTTCTAGAAATATTCCTTTTTATCTACCATATGGCAATTCCAACAACTGCGAAATCATGACGGAAACCATTGCAAGGCATCCTATCTCCACAATATTTGTTTTAGTGTCGAATGTACAGTTTTTTAAACGACAATGTTCACAGACAAAATTGCCGTTATTTGAGTGACACCAACCCTCACGTTCTCCGGGAAACACATACCCAATATCCAGAAAAAATTAACGTTTGGGCAGGAATATTCGGAAACCATATTCAAATACAGGGGAACTGTATTTGAATATGCTGGAAACTACTGTTGACCCTCTCATTACTGAAATCATCGAAGCGAATCCTAATTAATTCGATATGTATTCCAATAAGATGGAGCACCACCACATTACTCCACACAAGTAAGAAACTATTTGGATACTACTTTTCGCTGTAGATGGATTGGCCGTCGAGGTCCTACAGAATGGCCAGCCCGCTCGCCAGATTTGACACCTTTGGACTTTTTTCATGGTATTATCCGTTCAAAGAATAAAAGGGCGGGTACATTAAAGAAATGCACTGTATGTTTTGAAACATAACTCGAGTGCACAAATGAGTATGACAATGTAAATTAATAAAATAAATAGTTCTTCAATGCTTTTTTGAATCTTCTATGTTGGAAAATTGTTTGACATTTAGTAATTTAGTAATTCATTATACAGTGTGTAAAAGCCAAATGGAATAAATTCATAATTTCGGTTGAAGTTCATATTTTGAGAAAAACACGTCAAATTTAAATTATAACTTGACATACTACATTGGAAAAATGACCTTTAAAAATTACAGAAATGTTTATGTCATCTGTGTACATAAATACATCTGCGATGTCTAAGAAGGTTGGCAGATCATTCATATAGATTATAAACAACAGTGGCCCCAGGACTGAACCCTGAGGTACACCATGTTTGATTTGTATGGTCCTGGAGGTCACATTATTGTAGGATATGTATTGTTGTCTGTCCGTAATGAATGTTTCAATGAGTCGAAGAGCTGGTCAACGTATCCCGTATTTATGGAGCTTCTCCTAACTTCAACTCCCGCCGAATGACAGGAACAACCCCCAAATTTTTAAATAGGCTTATGATACAACGTTTGAAAGATATCTTCATTCTCTATTCAAAAATGTTATAGCTTTTAAGCTTATTGCAACAATTAAGATGGAATAAATTAAAATTTATTGCAATATACTCAAAAACTTATTTCATTGATAATAAGAAAGTAAGCAAAAACCATAGTAATGATCCCTTTAGATGGTATCCTTTAAAAAACCGTAAATTTTCACGGCAACGTTAATTCAATGTCCGGCAACACCTCGATACAACATTTCCCAATCGGTGAATAGGGAGGCGAGGATCGATTGAATGGCCAGCGCGATCACCTGATCTTTCTTCATTAGATTTCTTTTTATGGGGATATGTAAAGAGCAAAACTAAACCTTCCGATTTGAATGACTGAAAAGAAGGAATAATGTTGCGATTAGGTCGGTCACGCTTGATATAATGAATGATGAAATGAATAATGTTAGAAGACAGTTTTATTTGAGATTAGGATGTTGCCAAGACGTTCGCAGCGATCATTTTAAACATCTACTTCGTTAACATCAATAGTTTTTATTCGTATTTAACATTTCATTACGTTTTGCATTACATTTTAGTTTTTGAGTGTTTTGTTTTTGAAATTTTGAAAGTTCAATTGTCCCGGCTACAACTTCCTATTTTCATGGTAACTCAGTCATAGTCAATCCCTGAAATCAAGTGCTATCTTATCCATCCATGCATATTCATTGGATTGAGGCATAGCTTTTCAAAAATGTAGCGTTTTCAACTCTTCTCATCGAATTCTTCTTTCCGCAGGATCCACTTTATATAAAAGGATAATAAAAGTAGAAATATCACTTGGATGAAAGCAGATTAGCGACTTCGTCTGCAATTTACTGCTGTGCGGCGGGAAAACTCACCATAAACTTGCAGGGAAAACTCTCAAACGTGACTCTCCTGAATCCCAGCTTTCAGACTGGGACACGTATCTCTGGTTGACGAGTTTTATTTTCTTTGTGTAGAATAACACATGTGAAAAGTCGTATGATTTATGTATGAACTTGGAAGGAACAATTCCAGATGATGGTCCACATAATGGGATCAAAGTCGCAATTTGATGGAGAACGATTACTATTTGATTTTTTTTTGTTTCATAACAACTGATGTGAAATTTCAGAGTTGTCATTATTATTCTGAAAATTATGCAAATTTTCATCAGTATTCAGTGAGATGACACATGTTTTATTGCAGTGCTTGATATCATTCGTTCTGTTGAGACGAAATTCCGTCTGAGCCATTTCCAGGAACGATCTCTCAGTACAACTGTAAGAATTTTACTTGAATTACAGTCCACTTCTTGACCTTCTTCGAAAACATGGTTGCTGAGAGCACATCTTTCAGGGTGTAGTCTACTACTGTCACTTTTGTGACCTTCAATTCGGTCTTTGAGTAATCTTCTATAATTATGGCACGGGACTCAATAGATTTATTTTGATTATCAATTATCGTTGAGTTAAGCTCTATCTAAATTCAACCAATAACTTTTTCTGCATGAATTTTAGCTAATACATTTACATTTTGAAAATGCTCAGACTAAGATGGCTGAAACATCATTGAAACAAATGTTCTTTATGATTTCAGGTTCAGCATCAATTGAGATGTGTATCGGTTTACGAAATGTCATTCTTTGTGTTTATCCCTGTTTTGGTATCGAAAAATCTAACTAACAAGGAGTCTAACAAAGAAAAGACTCAACAAGAATATAAGTGAACATGAAATAAATGAAATGTAACATTTTCGTTTCACATCAGCAAACACAGAACACGGCTTTCTTTCTCCTTTTGTGTTCTGTGTTTGCTGAGGTCTAGTCATTGTTCCATGTCATCTCGATTTTTATCTCTTTATATATTTTTGACAGTTGATTCTCATTCATTCCTTTTACAGTTTCATCACTGTCGATTTTTTCTCTGTACAAAAGAAGCCTTTCATCACTGTAACTGCTTTCAATTTTTTCATTCCATGTTCAAACTTACCCATTACATAGTGGGTGAGACCGTGTCTGTGACTTCGATAAACTAGCACCCCTCCATTTTCATCAACGTCAGTAAGATACATCGACGGGCTTTTCATTTTGGGATACGACATCCTGAATTGGGAATGGATGTTGTCCACGCTGTCTAGAAAGTCCGCGAAATATCTTCCTGTTGCTTTTATAGTGGCGTCGTATCTGGAATTATATTTATTGACTCTTTCACTTATTATTTATGTCTTCACAAAAAAAAATGAAACATTTCATATGACAATACAAGGTGGATGGGGATAATATTTAGCAAACATGTAATAAATAGTGATGGACTGTTAAATTTTCAGCTGTACAAAGTTTGATCTTCTTGAAGATGGCCCCTTGGTATAAAAAGTTGCCTTCACTCATTTTTCTTTTTTTTTATTAATGAACAAACCCTCTGGAGCTTTCATCATTCCTCTAATTTTTCATCAACTCTTCAGTATAGACTGAAAGATATTGTCTTACCCATAGTTACTGAAAAACCTGACGAAGCATTTTCCGAAGAACATCATAAAGCTCTCGTACGATTTGGAGGTAATGCTGGCTAGAGAGGATGCTAAAGACGTCATAATGGTGTCTGGATAAACTTGATGGGTGCTGAATACGGTGTGTTTGCATTCCGACATTTGAAGAGCCAGCTTCCATACATCTTCGCCATACTCCAACTGAAAATCAATAAAAAAATAGCTTTCAAACAATTAACTATCGATGATGAAGTAGTATCAAATCTACCAATTTATAAAACACCCATGCCCCGTTAGTACTTGTGTGAGAAAGTAATTTACTTCTCTCCATTTTCTGTTCTGTTGCTAACCCTTTTGATACGTTGTTTTGTACCATTGTTCTCTCTTCCGTCAGCAGATCTATTGGGGGGGGGTTCTTGCAATCATCAGCAGAGCTTTAGTTGATGTTGTTTTATATGCACACGCTATTTTTATGGCTGCTTTCCGTTGAACACTAAGTAATATATTCCTGTACCTATACCTTTTTTTCCATGGCTCCTTTCCATATCGTTGCGCCATATAGCATGATCGACTGGGGGACTGAGCATAGAATTCTTCTGCTACCTTCTCGAGGAACCCCAATGTCGGGCATTATCCTGCTTATGTTGCTTATAGCTTTTCCCGCTTTTTCTGCTATTTTTCTAACATGAGCTCCCATTTTCATATTTCGATCCATGTGGATTCCCAGGTATTTGATAGATTCTTGGCTACGGATGTTCGTTTCCTCCAATTCAATTGTGATATTTTTCAGTTTTCTGCCTGCTGTCTGCAGTACTACCTTTGACTTCTGAGGGGCAAACTTGAGTTGTTTCGCTGTCATCCACTCGGCTATATCCTTCACAGTTCTGTTGGAAGTTCTTACCAGTAGTTGTAGTAGTGGTAGCGGTAGCAGTAGTAGTAGTTTGCTGTATGTCGTGGTATTACAAAAACATTTGTTATTGATTTATATTTTCAACCAAACTTTACTTTTCAACACAGAAGTAAGAACAAAAAATTGTATTTATAAGATTGTATTTATCAGATGTGATAGCAATAGTAGTTATACAGGAGGGGTGATGATTTGTATTAGAAGAGAAATAGAATATAGAATGAATAATCAAATAATATTGGAAGGAAACTATTGGATTAAGTTTGTTTCAATCAAATTAGGGAATCAAAAGTGGTTGATTGGTGGAGTGTACCATTCTCCTAGTGCTAGTGATAGGGAGTTTGTAGAAAAAATAGAAGATATTTCAGAGGAAACTTTTGTGGGTAATAAATAGGAGATATAAATATTGATTTTAATGATAAGAACAGTTTTTCTAGCAAACAAGTAATAAATCTTATGAATATATATGGAATGGAATAATATGTTAATAATTTCACCAAAGTTACAAACACAAGTGAATCTCTAATTGATTATGTAATAACCAACGTAGAAAATGTGAAAGCAACTGTGCATCATTCTCCAAAAATCAGTAATCACTCTATTATATTTGTTACATTGAATAATAAGAATATCAATGGGAAAATCTGGGATACCATAAAGTTCAGACATGTCAATGTTTGCTTTAAAAACAAGATTGCGAAAAGTGGATTGGGTTTGTAATGACGCGACTCTTTAATGAATAATCTGTATGATAATTGTTAACTGATTATGAACGAGGTAGCGCCGAATTGATCTCTGGTAAAAAGAATAAATGAAGTTCCGTGGTAAATTGAGGAATTGACTGATATTGCAAGGGGAAGAGATAGAGCATATAAAAACTTTATGAAAACGGATACTGATCAAACTGAGTATTACGAGAGGTGTAAATATTATAGAAATCATTTTGTAACTAAATTAAAAATGAAAAAAATTATATACTATGAGAATCAAATTGATAAATATAGATACAATGCAAAAAAGTGTGGAAAAATTTGAAGAAAAAACCAACTTTGAAAAAATAATCTTCAATATCAATAATGAAATCGAAATAGTAAGAAAGGAAGATGAGATAGCGATATATTTCAATATACACACNTTTGTTCAACCCATAGAAATCTACAGGGTGGTCGAGTGTACCAATTCAATCGAAATTAAACGACCTCATGCATTTATTTTTATGATATTTAGTATGTTATAAAAATATCCCTAGACTTTTCCGATGTGTGTATATTTTGGAGAGAGATGTCGAAATTCAATACTTTGAATATCAAACATTGCATCCAGCCTATCAAATGAAAACAATAACGAAATATTGAGTATGAAATTTATCAAGGACACTCTTGATATTACACAGTTGATATTACAGTAACACCTATACCAAAAATTACGAGCACAAAAGAAGCGATAAATGTTCGTCCTGTTAATACATTGCCCGGACTGAAAAAGATTTTAGAAATAGCAGTGTATAGACAAGTTGAAGAGTTTTTAGATCTCAATGAAATAATTATGTTGAATTGATCAGCTTTCGGTAAAAACACTCATGTGAAACATCATTGTAACTGACTATGGAAAAAAATATGGATCAGGGAAAGATCGTGGCTGTTTTTGTTGATTTCAAAATTATCGATAAAAGCATTTTGGAAGCAATTTGGAAATATAGGGTCTGTCTGGTGAGGTTGTAGGATGGTTGTTTGGGTAATAGGAGGCAGCGGACCAAAGTGGGCGATTCAATTTCTGAGGAAATAACAGTTCATTCTGGAGTACCGCAGGGTAGTGTGTTGGACCTCTTTTATTCATTTTGTATTTGAATGACAAAGACTTGAGTAATAAAGAGTGAGAATTCATAAATCTTTTCGCAGATGACACACTAATTTCTGAAAGTAAAATACAGTCATTACAAAAATGAATAGTACATTAAAAATATTGGACACATTTTTGAAAATGGTCGAACTGAAATTGAATGTTCAAAAAACAAAGGCAATGATGATTGCAAATAAATATAAATATGATCAAATCAATATAAATTACATCGAAACAAAAATAGTTTTAGATTCCTATAATAGACTTCCATAAATGATAAAAAATGCAAGGACAGTTACGATGTTTAAACACAAACTAATTGAATACATGAGAAAGCAACCCAATGTTGTTTATTAGGCATACAATTTTAGTGATTAGTTTTATATTGATGAAAATAACTACAATTGCAAAAAACTTATGACAAAAACCAACTATGTTTTGAAAAATTTCAACAATCTGTATTTTGAAAACGAATCATTCTTCGTTGAACATTTTATAGGAAAAAGTTGTTTATTTTGACGGGATGCACCACATACTTAGTTTTTGTAATGTTCTCAGCAACTTCACTTAGCGTCCTAGGATATAGAAAATTGTAAATATCACGAAAACGATCACCTCCAGCGTTGTTGAGGAAGTGTAGGTACCTTTTTTCACTTGGAAAAGGTGTGCAAATTAGGTTTTTTCATGTAAAGTACCAAAAGTTTACTGTCAAAAAAGTAAGGGCAATATGAAATAAATAATGACAGCGTACGCAGCGCCCTCTACATGTTACATGAAAGTTAATACGAAATTATGATTTCCCACGTCAAAAAAAACTACCCCGGGTGCCGAATTTCGTGCAAATAACTTATTTTGCATATTATAGTGGCTACCTCTTATGTGGTAGCCACTAATATGCAGGTAGGTTCTTTGCATAGCGTAAATAAGCATTAAGAAAGGGAATCACGAATTTCCACCACCAAGAGGGAAAATAGGGGTACAAAATATTGTAACTGATTGGTAAAATTGGCCTGTCACGAAACTCAATGTGACAAACCACATTCTACGCGGGAAACAACTAGTAAATAATGAATCTTTGTGGCAATTGTGCTCTTCTGTCGAAGACTGTTTAAGAACCCAACTAGAGACAGCAGTATCATACCTTTAGTTTCATGAATACTGCAACAAAAAGTCACATCACATTTCTTTTCTCCTCCGAATACCCCTGCGTCAGCACAACTGTGAAATTGCGATGTTCAGATAAAATGAAACTTGTCTGGAATAGATCGAATCGTATAAGACTCATCCATTATTCCACGAAATGACTTTTATGTGAATTTCATCTGTGTTCTTGAGAGAAAAACATCCTCGTATCACTTAAAGAATTCAATCAGAAGTAAACACCGAAAGGAGAAAACACTCTTGTTCAATATTCATTAGACAAAGTTCTTCGATGATTGGAAAAGGTTTCCGTCGGTATCTTGTTTTAGAAAGGTCTTGAAATTAAGTTTAATTGCAAGAGCAATTTCTATCTTACGCATTGAAAGGAAATGAAAGAACTATATTTATGTTAAAATGCCCACGTCATTATCAACTGCAGCTAGTATACACAGTGGCGTCCCTCAGGGGTCTATTCTTGGTCCCATTATCTTTCTTTTGTACCTATATAAATGATCTGACATCGTTAAATATAAAGAGAAAGTTCGCGTTATTTGCAGATGATACCACAAAACTATGGCACATTGAATATACCTCAGATCTCCACAAGCTCATATATTCAGATATCAAGTGCATCAAGGACTGATGCTATACTAATCTCGTATCTTTAAATATCAACTAAACTAATTTGATATCTTTTCGGGGTACTATTGACAATTTTCCAATAACTATCGATGGAAGTGTTATCGATAATAAATCAAGCACTAAATTCCTGGGTATTATCATAGATAACGTCTTGAGATTTGAAGACCACATCAGGAAACTTACTGAAAAACTTTCTTCGGGTTTATTTCATCAGTTCGGACTTCCATTGTCTAATATACTAATATATAATTCTTAGACGTATTGGCGAAGAAGACCGACACTAAATGGGAAACATCTGTTACCGAAAACCCACTCACATAGGACAGTATCTGAACCAGAAATCCAACCACCATCAATCGACTAAGAAAGGAATCATCAAGACTCTACTGGACCGTGCTTTTGGGCTCTGTAATACAAAGGAAGGTCTCGAAAATGAACTAGGCATTATCAAAAAGGACCTTCAACCAAAGTGACGGTAGAACAGGCCTTAGCTAGAAAACAGCAAGAACTCCACAAGGAACGGAAGCCGACAGTACTTGTACTTCCCTACATCAGAGGATTATCGGAAAGGATAAGACGGATTGGGTCCAAGTATAACATCCTGACCTGCTTCAGATCTGGGAACACTATCCGTAGCAGCCTCGCGAAAACCAGGTCACCAAAGGCGGATTGCGATTCCAAGAATTGCATTTACCGGATACCCTGCGAGTGCGGAGAATCATACATCGGTGAAACTAAGAGGCCATTGAGAGTTCGCATTACTGAGCACAAGATAACTTCTAGACTGGGATCTTCTGCAGCTAAATCTGTTCACTATTCACTAGTAGACTCACAGTTGAGATATGGAATTCCATTCTGGGGAGTATGTTCTAGAACTCTCGTGAATTCTGTGTTTGTACTTCTAAAAAGAGCGATATATCTCTTCAAAATGAAACAACAAGGATCCTGTAGGACTATATTCATTACATATAATATTTTGACAGTTCATACCATTTTCATAATAGAAACGTCTTGTTTGATAAACAAGCACAGAGATGATTTTCATATTCCACTCGTCAGACTGCGTATATACCAACCTCGACACTAAAAGCTAGTAATTTACAATGGCCCAAAAATATACAACCACCTGCCAAACGACGTTAAATGTATAGAAAGCCCCTCAGAATTTAGAAAAGCAATGAAAGTTTTACTTTCCGATAGATCCGGTGAAAATCCCCTCCCTCAAGATGTGCAGTAGATGTGTAGAAATCTATTATCAGTCTGTAATCCGGTCAATCTAGACATTGGAAGATACATAAATTTACAACAAGCTGTAGCCGTAAAAATCCAAATTCGGGACAAAAGTTTCTATACATTTTTTTCATATGTATATGTATGTGTATGTACGTATGAATATTTTTATAGGTTTTAAAGTATATAAGCTTAGTATATATGCTTGTATTTTATCTTATTCACACACACTTTGTCAATGAGATTCATTCTTCTGACAATTAAGCTTATTTATTATCATTATAATATAAAATGCTAGAAAAATCATTACGGAAAATTCGGAAAATGAGAATTTCGAAATAGAATGCAAAATATTTCATTCTTCTAATGTCCCTACACAATGGGATCTAGAAAATCCCTGAGAACAAACTACTTTTTGTCTCATACCTCGACAGACATTTGTTCAAGTTTATAAATGCGAAAGTCATTAATTAAACACTCATTCATCTCTGTTTCTCCGTACTGATGAGTCCAAATATTCCAACGGAGGCGCCCCCCGGATGGGGGGGGGGGGTAAAACGGNGGGGCGTAAAACGGACGCGTTTACATATGAAAATTACCTATTCTCCGTATCGCTATATTTCGGAGGCTGAAATTTCGTATGTAGGTTAGTTTTATGTCGTAGATGTGTTATATTTAGTATCAGCATTGCACCCGTGCGGAGCCGGGACGGGTCGCTTATACCTAATATCTACCTGTAATTACCTAAGAATGCGAACAAAGGGCTGATCAGATTGGAACCTTTGTCACCGTTCCCGGATCCCATTCCATATTTTTTGATTTCTCAACTCTCGAAGGCATATAAAAACATGTAGTTAGACACCGCTCTCAGTAATTTCAAGCATTCCTCAGTCATTCTGTGGCCGTTCTCTGAGGCATGTTATGTGACACCTGACTGTTCTGGTCTAAAAAATCGAATAGGTGGGAAATGTTCCTTGCAGCGAGTTATTAAAGTCCACCTACTTTGTCCAACATCTTCACATTTCAGCCCGTCAATCCCAGACTTATTCTTCCACGTCTTTTTGTCATTCAGGCACAATGATATCTTACAAACACTTTGTTTTATTCAAATTCAAAGATAGAAAGCGCTTAATAAAAGACCCTTTACTTTATTCATTAACTGTAATTTTCAGTTTCATTGAATTGATGAAACTGCAGAACACTGTATTATTCGTGACAACATACCTGAACAAAATGCTGCACACTTTCCAATAACATCCCGTACATACTGAAAACTCAATCAAAAATATCTGCCCGTTTCAAATATTCCGCCGAATACCATACTTTTGTTTCAATATTTTCTTTCACAATGAAACAATCATCGAACGAATCGCTTTTCCCGGCGTTTTTCTCCCCCTCAGTGCGGCAGGGCGGTTATTTTGGGACTATGGAGAAACTGTTCGGGTTGGTAAGGACCGGCAACAGGTTTCGATACTGCATTTCACGCAAGCGGGGACCGCGAAATTCGTTACGAAAGAGTCTGCCACATACGGTCAAAGGAAATGTAGTTTTTGGTCTTATTCGTTACTGGCGATGAATTTTAATATGTAATTAGTTCTTGCCCGGTGGTCGTTTGTTTGTTTTCAAGATTGAGATTACGAAATAGGCATGCACTTGTGATCTTTGGTAATAATAATAATAAATAAAATATAGTTCAGCGACTTTGAGGTTGTTTCAAAAGTTTTTTCCATTTTCTGTCATCCGTCTTAACGGTCCATATAATCCATCGTAACTAATAACTTGGTGAAATATGTTCACCAAATGTCAGCTGTGGGTTAAAAATTGCCTTAAGGTACTTTATAATCATTGCATCCTTCTAGGTTTGAATCTTGAATATGTTACGGAATTTTACGAATGTCTCGTTTCGGGTACAACTAAATGCTTTACACTTTTCAACATTAAGTTTCAATTCATCATTGCAACGCCAAGTAACAAAAAGTTCCAACTGATACGGAAGATTTACACAATTACTCATGTAATTAATTACGGAAAATAACTCAATCATCTGCAAAACAGAGCCCAAGAAAGAACAAACCTAAAAGGCGATCTATCCCCCTACGAAGTCGCCATCTATGGGATTTGCAGGATACTCAATCATGGAATATCGAAGGTACAGGTGGCTTCCCTAAGCGGTCACTTGTAAAGCCAAGCGTTGACATCGATCGCCGAACGAGATTCGTCCTCTGTCTTTCACTGCAAGGCAACTAGATCATTGTCTAAAAATTTAGACATTGATGATGATCCTTAGATATTGACTAGATGAACTTGTAATCCAACACCAGCTGGCGCTGTTTCTATCCTGAAGTTGAAAGTACCAACCCTCACCACCAGAGAGCGACGGCAGTACGATGACGGTATTCAATGTGGTTACCAACAGAATTGGGTAGCAGTCGCTGACAACCAGTCAATCATTTAATTTAATTTGATTTTGGGGTACCTACCATCGCTACTCATTTCTGTTTGTTACCACAATAAATACCAACATCGGACTGCCACGGTTCTCTGGTGGTCAGGATAGCTACTATGAATTTCAGGATACACCAAAATCGTACTCATGAGCTTTGAATGTTTGCATATGAAGTGCACTAAATTCGAAGTGTGGAGAAAAAATATATAGCAGTTTCTGGTTACCAGATATAAAAAATACCTGTAGATGTCATACTTCAATTTGGTAAATGCGTCAGGTTTCCCTAGATTTCTATATTTTTCAGTGGTTTTTCTACTTTTTTTCTCTGAGGTTTTCCAGAATGACTTCGATCTGAAGACCCAAGGGACATTATATTTTACATTATTACACTCTGGCGTTCTAATAACACAGAACGTTAAATCAACCGAGTAGCAATTTCAAACGAACTAACTTTTTTATTACAAGTAAAATACAGCTGGTTGAAATCAAAATTTGTGGAATATCCCTGGTAAACACCTTCCACATGTGAATTGTGAAACATGTTGTCAAAAAATCTCGACCTAAGGCACTGTTGATGAAGAAATAATGAAGAGATACAATGAATTTAAACATTTCATTCATAGAGGTGCTGAGTACCCCTTTAGTATCAGAACTTGTTGGCACTTCAATCCTCAATGTTTCTTATATTTGGGAATGAATTTTATTAGGTTGAGAATGGTCCATAAATAAAAGATTTGAATACAATCGCCGAGACAGACTTCGATTTTGGCACCATCTATGAACTTATGTACAAAGTTGGGACAATCTTTCTCGAGTAACGAGTGTTTTGACAAAACAAAACCGAATTGGTAAAAAAACCAGTTTTCATACACTTTGGTTAAGACATTTTCTGGTTGAAAATAATTAGAAACATTTTTTTATATAATCCGCTGGAGTCTCCATCTATGAGGCATAAGCCGAAAACAGGAAAAAACACAAAAATTTAGTAGAGTACTGCATTTTCTTCGAAAATGACCGTCAAAAATTAACCTAGAATTTGAAAAAAGTTTCTATTTTTGTCAGGGGTTCTTCGCTTATGTGAAATTTTATAGACATAACCTATAAAAATGTATTTTTAAACTATTAGTTGCTTTTCATTCTCTCTTATAATATTGACATTTAGCAGAGATGTGATAAAAGTATATTATTACGGAGCCAGAAATGTATTCAGTACTCGAGAGAATGAAATTCTTCAATCAAGCAATAACCGCTTCTCGCGAGTAGAACATTATAATTTTTCTACGATTCATACCAGGAAACTTATAAAAAATAGTTTTGTGAAGGATATCCGGGATGAGAGAAACACTATTAAATTTTATGACAAGAAGCAACTTGAAAAAAGCAAAATTACCTCATTTCTGTAATTTTATTAGACTTTCGAAAATAAAACCCTGATATAGGTATCGGTTCACTTTTATCTTGAAACAATGATTATCTTGGACACATGGCATGCCTTCCACCATCAACAGGCATAGTTGCTCCCGTAATGAAACTAGCATCATCGCTGGCCAAGAAAGCTATTGTCTTAGCCACCTCCTCGGGCTTTCCCGGCCTACCCAAAGCATGAGTATCTTTACACTTCTTCAAAAATACTTCGTACTGTTCTTCGTTCATTCCCCCTCTCTTATGAAGGTTCGTGACGGTGACTCCAGGGTTCACACAGTTGACTCTGACTTGTTTAGGGGCCAGGTCCAGGGCTGCGCATCTCGTGAAGTGGTCTACAGCGGTCTTCGACATACAGTACGCTAGGACTCCAGGAAAAGCCCGCATGCCATTGACGCTGCTGACATTCACGATGTTCCCCTTGGTTTTCACCAGGTGGGGCACTGCGAGAAGCGAAAGATGATACAAGGATCTGACGTTGGTGTTCATCATTCTATCGAACTGCTCCAGGCTGGTGTTCTCGATGCCTCCCGTTTCTATAATGCCGGCATTGTTCACCAGTACGTCCAGTTTCCCGAAATGTTCTATTGTTTTATCGAGGATGGCCTTGGTATCCTTTTCGTTTGTCAGCTCACCGGTCAAGAGTAGGGGAATCGATTTGGTGGAGCAGTCGGATGCTACTTTCTTCAGGTTTTCCAAGTTTCTTCCGGCTAAAGCTAAAGTGGCACCAAGTCCGGCGAAATGTTTGGCAGTAGCAGCTCCTATCCCAGAACTCGCACCCGTTATTAAAATAACTTTTCCGGCAAATGCCATACTGATTTCTATACTCCGAATACCTTGTGATTGCAGATCAAACTTGTACTTTGAACGGTCTGTGTTTACAGCAAAATTAAATTAATCATTTAGAGGTTAAAAGGTTGAAATTCATTTAGAACATATAAGGTTTAATATTATCTCACGTACTATCCATAGACATGATAATATATAGACTGGGCGTGAAGTCACTTTTACATATATCATAGGATTGTTCTGGTTCTCTGCCCGGACTGTTCCTACCAGTCAGAAAACAGTCACCAAACTGAATACTGAACATTTTGTCGCGTTGACCTTTTTAGTACACAACTGACTCACTGATTTTGGACGATCCGAAACAGTACATACTGAAAACCAGAACAAACAACAAACCTCATATATTTCGCCTGTGGATCACACAATGTGTTGGTCACTGCGTCACAGCAAAGAAATGAGTGACGTAAACGCCAATACGTGAATCTTTCATATTTTTTCAGTTGCTGGCATCAATGTTCTCTCTTCAATGGCCAGTCCATATTTATTACGTCACTGGTACAATCGCAGTTGTTCTATGTTGAGGTTTTATCTCACTGGCTAGATGGCGCGTTTTATAGCTGTCAACAAATCCGCTTGAACAAAAGTTTTTGTCGAAAACAAGCAAGAAATGTATTCTTAATTCACATTTTTTTAAGTCCAAGGTTCTATTCTTTGTTTTCGTACGAGTGCTTCCTACCTAAGCTTTTTACAATGATCGAGAAAACACACCTGTGTGAGAATTTTTCCCTCCCAAATACGGGAGCCAAGTTGCAACTGTTGCCAGACAACGGAAAATATATAATCTAATTGTACCTTTTTCAACAGACAGTGTTGCCAATGTCTAAGAATCCCCGACATTGCGGGGACTTTATTCTTATGAGAGTATTTCATAGGTATGTGAGGATTTCGAGGAAAATCGGTTTCTTACGCATACAGAATAGATTATGAAAAATAATGTTTCATGTGGAATTTTTGCTAATGGTCGTTGTAGCTGTGACTAACCCAAAGATATACAAAATTAGAAAAAAAAATACGCACTATTGGTTGATGCAATAAATCAGAAACAAACCAGTAGAGAATATTCACCTCACAAATACGGGAGCCAAGTTGCAACTGTCGCTGGACACCAGGAAATTAGTGATTTTCTGTTTCTTTTCATATTTTTAAAACTGTTGTTTCATACGTTTCATCAATTTATCAAGAAAGTTTTCATTTCAAAAAATTTTTCGATATAAATTACCTTGTGGGTATATTGCATCGACTCATTATGTCGGTGGTATATTGTGAAGAATCTCAAATGAATGATGCTGTCTAAGTATTTTGACGATCCCGCCATGGCAACACTGATAACAGAGCTCAACTCGATAGAAATCTTTTTTCACCATTCATATAATAGGCGAACTTTGACCTATTACATTGAAGATGGCGCAGTATCATTCATTGCGAACGTTTAAAAAACGATTACCCAACCGCTAAAAGATAATTTATTTGAAAAAACTATCTTTATAGTAAAATTTGATGTATATGATTGATAACTAATTCTCAAACTTTCCTATTCATACAGAAATCTCCAGAAGAAAGCCATTTCAAATACATATTTCAGTGGTACCTATTTCTGTTGTAAAAAATTGTTTATCTAGATTAAACTACAAAAGAAATACACTTTTTTAGGACATGAAATATGCTCCAGATTTCTGTAGCTCAAGGGCACCCTTTTAACATTGAGAAACGTTGGTCAAAGTCAATATTTAAACAACGCAAATGTTGATAAAAAAAAACGCATGACTATGAATACTTCACTCAATATCTTGTTTTACAAATCGACCCTATTATTTCGTCATGACTTTCGCCGGTAAAGTTGTTTTAATAGCAGGAGCTAGTTCAGGAATTGGAGCTGCTACGGCCAAACAGTTTGCCAGACTTGGTGCCACTTTAGCCCTATGCGGGAAAAGGAATATGGACAAGCTGAAGCAAGTGAAGTCAGAGTGTTCAACAGAGTCAAATCTCCTTCTCCTAACAGGTGACTTAGTAGACGAAACGAAGAACAAAGCCATTGTCGAAGAAACCATAAAACATTTCGGTCAACTGGACGTTTTGGTGAACAGTGCCGGTATCCTGAGATCGGGGACCATTGAAAACACCTCCCTGGACCAGTACGATACAGTAATGAACACCAACGTGAGATCTATGTTTCAGCTTTCGATGCTGGCAGTGCCACACCTGATAAAAACCAAGGGGAACATCGTGAACGTGAGCAGTGTCAATGGCTTGCGCTCTTTCCAAGGAGTCCTAACCTATTGCATGTCCAAAGCAGCAGTGGATCAGTTCACCAGATGCACTGCTTTGGATCTAGCCTCGAAGCAAGTGAGAGTAAACTCTGTGAATCCAGGAGTTATCAGAACAAACATTCACAGAAAGAGTGGGCAGAGCGAAGAAGAGTATGCAGTTTTCTTGAAGAGGTGTCAACTAACACACGCTCTAGGCAGGCCAGGTGAGGTGGACGAGGTGGCTAGATTGATTGTGTTTTTAGCTAGCGATGATGCTAGTTTCATCACTGGAGCTACAGTTCCTGTGGACGGAGGAAGACATGCTATGTGCCCAAGATAGAAAGTGACTACTACTATTTTGAAATTATATTCCATTCACTGCCAATTCAGGTGTTTGCAGTAGATTTGAAAGCAGTATTTTATTGAATATTAATGTTCATAGTACCAAACATTAGTAAATCCTTGCTTGTTACGGAGCTGGATTGTTTTTATTACCCTATCAAGAAATGTATATAATAAATAACAGAATAAGAGACTGTTTACTTGAAACTAAAATATTTTTTGACTGAAACAACTGCATCTTTGATCATGGCTTCAGGAAATGTTTCAGAGAAAGCATGTTAAATTAATTTGTTTCTCTTCATTTGCTTTTCAAAGTATAGTTTTTCATTTAACTCACATACTTTACCTAGAATAAAAACTAATTTTATCGTAACATTACTGGAAAATCAATTTCTACTTCATCTTTGTACAAAAAAAGAAAAAAAATTGGGAATTGGTCTTTTCATTCAAAAAACTACTTCTGTTCTTTTTAATTCTTTTGGAAAAAGTTCTTCCGGTTTGTCCGATACAAAATTTTTGACAAGAAACACAAGTTAACTTGTATATTCTCGATCTACCCGATACTGGAGTTTTTCATCTTTATTGTTTTTATAATTTGAGTAAATTGTATTTGTTCCTTTTAAAAATGTGTCATCTGTTTATTATGTGCCATAATTTATGTTTCTATATTTATTTTTCATCTTCATTCTTCAATTTTTTATTCAACTGTGATGAACTATTATTTGTTGTGAAAAAATACATATATTGTGGTCAGTTCAATAGTTAACCGAGCAGAATCCAAGATATATGACAAATACATATTCTGCCAAATAAATCCTACATTATTATTACTATTACTTCACAATAGAGTAAAAATTGTCCTTACTATCAATTATCAGACTGAACCAAACGATTTTTATGGTTCCAACTTTCGAATCAAATCAATAAAACTACACAATGATGGTATAATCATTCATATTTGTACATACTACGTTGAAGTGAAAAAATTTAACAAGCTGGTATACCTAATTCCTCGTCGGTCCACTTAGAAGGATCAGGATACTCGAATTCACCCTGGAAAAGCCAAAAAAATTAGTTCCTTCACTTCTTCTGTCAGCTGGCAGAAAATACAAACTGTCTTCATGACAAGAGCAGAGATGTCTCTTGTTAAGTTATTCATAACAGTGCATATATTATGCTCAATAACATATTTTCAAATGATATCTGTTTCAATTCCTTTCTATCATATTCATGATAGTATTTGTTTCGGCGTACTTTCACACACAATTTACACACATAAGGCAAGTTAAAAAGTATCTTACAAATATGTGTCCTGGCTCGGTCCACAAATGCCACAAAACCCACCACCAGGCAAATCCTTGGATAATTTCAGCTCCTACTTGGATGAATTTGGGCGGAGGAGGTGGTCCAACTCGATAATTCCAACTTTGGGGGGACGAAATGAAATGAAAAATAAAATTTGTACCACTTCTATTGCATAACTTACCCATGAGAGTTTCTAATATACTGTATTTGTGTCTGATTTTTGCATAACTTCTGTAGGGTTCTGATAGTCCCAACGCCTCTCGAAATCAGCATGTTGTAATAAATAGTTTGACCCTATTCTATATATTCAGATTCTTTTAGCATTTATAATCTGAAATTATGACGATTGACCTCTAACCACCAAATGTCAGATCCAATGATTTCTTCTTCTTTTTTTGTTCTTCTTCGATTTTTTAAATTCATATTTTTAGGTATTTTGTTCGCAACATAGATATTATAATATATATACTTACTCACATAAATTCATACTTTCGAGTGGAAATTCATAGTTAATAGTCACCTATAGGTGGGAACTTTTAAATTCACGGTTGTAGCTGTGATTTCCCACTTATAACTGTAATTCCCAGTTTTAACTGTGGAATCAGTTTCAAGTGAGATTCTGTGATTGTAGAGAAGAAAAAAATTAAATGAAATATTTTCTGCTGTTGTTTGCGATTTCATTATATTCATTCCTAACAATATACCAGTTTTCAAATTTTGGTTGCAAAGTAATTTATGTACGCATAAGAACTGTCAACTGTCATATCATATAGCGTAATCATTCAGCGAAAAAACAATCTTTTCAATTTTATTCAGCTACTGTATCCAGCGAAGAGGACAACCACAAAAATTCTTGCCACGGTAGGGTGCTGAGGGGCGTACGGTCAGTTCTAGTGGTTCTTTCGTTATTCACATAATGTATTGAATTAATTCATTTGAATTATGTGATGACGAGGAGGTAAGAAATTTTTTGATGGAGAAAGATTTGAATTCAGCGATAGTAGGATAGAAAGTTAACAAACGGTAATGTAACTAGTATTGCAGTCTATATAGTCAGATATAGAATAGAGAAAATAACTTTTGTCTGATTTTCACTAAGATGTTTATTTGTTACGACCATATTCGATTCATTAAACCGTTCTCAAGTAAACTGACGTCTCAATTTCCACAGATTAGTTTCCATGGTTGCTCTAACCAATAGAAACGCGCTTACGTTCGGTGACTCACCAAAAACTTAAATAACTCGCCTTTTTTGACAGTTGACATTTGTCAAAGTCTATTTTTTTATTGGTTTGTTGGTTATTGGTTACGCTCATTATAAGCATTCTCTAAATAAAAATATAATATCGAGAGAACTATTACGGAGATGGCACAAATATCCGCAACTGAACAAAAGGGAATGCAACAAATTGATCTGACTACACTCAATATACAGCAGTTGTCAGGGTTGAAACAACAATTGGACCAGGTTAGAAATTGATTTGGTTTCACCTACACATTTTTCAGATGTATATTTTTATTTGCAGGAATTGAATCTGTTTCAAGAATCCTTGGCAACACTCAAGGTAGCTCAAGGAAAATATCAAAATTCAGGCGAGACTTTGGAAAAAATCAATCCCAGTTCAGAAGGCAAAGATATTTTGGTACCTCTCACTGGATCTGTATCCTTTTGTCAAACGTGAATTTGTATGGGGTTTCTGTGGGATATTTACATTCATGAGAATTCATGAATTCAAAACTACATAATTTTTCCCTCATTTTTGGATGTGTTTTCCTTGATTTTTAACCTCAGATGTATGTTCCTGGCAAACTATGTGATACTAACAATGTCATCATAGACGTTGGAACTAGGTATTATGTTGAAAAGGTGAGCGTTTTGAATATATATATATATACTAAAAAGAACTGGGTTTATTTAGTCCATACAAAATAGAGTATGACAAACGTTGTTCAATTTTCTTAGAAAAATAGAATAGAATAGAAAACACAATATTTTTTTATCAATCTCGGGAATAGGAAAAAGTCGCATGGAGCCAAATCTGGTGAATATTGTGGCTGAATCATGATTAGTGTGTTGCTTTTGGCCAGCGAGCAGGTGCATTATATCTGAGGCAGATCTAGATGATAATTTTAAACTATTGATGGATGCCTTTTATCGAATCATTCAGAAATATGTTTACTTTCAGGATATCGAAGCTGCTAAAGACTATTTTCAGCGGAAAACAAAATTTGTGACGGAACAAATGGAGAAAATCCAGTATCTTGGCTTGGAAAAGAGCAAAATCCGGGATGCTATTGTGGAAATAGCTGAATTGAAGTTGGCTCAACAGCAGCAGAAGAGTTGAGGAATGCCACATGGATTTTATTTATTTTTTTCCATAATGAATTTGATTTGCTTCTTTCTCAGCTAGATTTATTTAGAATGCATACATCAACAATCTCAAAAAACTCTGAATTAAAAACCTTTCCTAACCCTTTTTTGAAAGTTTCTTGATGATGAACAAGTATTTAATAATTATTAATAAAGTGTTTTGTATGTTGAAGGTTTGTTTGAAATTAATCTTCCTCAAAGAGGTGAAATGTAAGTTTTGGTCTATTTGAAGACTCTATATTCAAATGTGGTTTTAGCCAATAAGATGCCAATGAGAAATTTTCAGATGACAAATTTGGACAAAAAAATATTCAAAAGCATTCGATTAAATCAATTATCTGTTAGTTGAGCAATTTTAAACAAAAAGTTAAGACAACGCAAACATACGATCCAACATAGTGTACAAATTGAACTATGAAAGTTGTCCCAAATGGTATGTTGGTCAAACCGGGCGATCTTTTGAAACACGAGTTTCAGAACACATGAGAGACTCAAAGAAACCAAAATGTCAAAAACCCTACAGCCGTTGTGGAACATGAAAGAGAACATGGACACATTTTTGACTTTGAAGGTCCGACTGTTCTAGATGTTCGACCGTATTTATCCAAAAGACTTTTGAGCGAAATGATACATATCCTCAATTGCAATAGTGTCAACACTAGAACGGATGTCAATGGCCTTAATACATCATATTTCAATTCATTCCGTTGAATACTTGGATAACTCCCCTTTTTTCATTCCCATTTTCTCTGTCATTGATAAAGACAGACACCACCTTATCAGAATCATAGATGAAGTCATTTCAATGTTTTTTATTTTTATTATGTTGTTGTTGTGTTGTGTGGGAGGTATGTTTATGAAAATTCATTGTTACAAAACGCTGAAGAAGAATTCAATCAAATTTGAACCGTTGGAAAGAAAACATTTTTTCAAAGAAAAATAGTTCCTGTTACCCAACTAACCCTGAAAAAAATTATTCGATCACTAAACCAGTTAATTTAATATTGTTTGTTTCTGATGGTTCATTAAAAATTTCAAATTATATTCTAGCTATTAGAAATGGAAAAATCAACTGAAAGATAGTTTATGTTGAAATAAAAGCGGGACTTCCGCAAGGAACTATTCTGGGTCCACCATGGTTCCAGTATTTACAATGCAGATATTGTGGGATCTGTATAACCTCAAAATAAAACACGATTCACCCACTATCGATATTGAAGTTTTTAGAAAAACTACTGCTCATAGCTTTAAACTTGATTTGGCGAAGCTTAGTTTTCACACAAAAACAATTTGATTTTATAGTTTCTATTCTGGCAGTTGCTACCAATAATTCACTGATAATGGTGGTTGTTTCAACTTATTACCGCGTTTAGCAATGACGAGGTAGCAAACCCAGATAATCAGCATTCGAATGGTGGTTGAATCAACAGAAAGTTGATTCATACGCTTTAAAACTCACTAGATCCAGCCTAATTGTAATAATCTGCTTACAGTTTGTTCGCTTTCTTACCGGCTATGAGTCGCATAGGCGCAGATGACGAATTTACGCTTCAGAATTCCTTTATTAGGCGTTTTAAAAACCTCGAATACGATTTGTAGTAGTGTTTGGTTCAGATCGACCTGGCGCACGTCTATACGGATTGTAGAACAGTAAAATGGTATTTTCGATTTAAGTTAGCTTATTGAAGAAAAGCTGCCTTTTGGATTCAAATAAGCCCATTTCAGTTTTATTGGTGAAAAGTTGTTGAATGATCTTATAGTAAAGTCGCCAGTTGGAGTTGTTTTCTATCTACAAGGTAAGTAGTTTAGTTGAATAATTAATAGTATTATTAGCAGTTGCTGTTTAATACTCGCAAATACAATACAATGGACTAGTAGATATGGTATTGAACTTTGTATGCACTCATAATATAGATGTTCAGGCATGTCATTGGGCAACAACTACTTGATACTTTTGGTACATACATATTATGACTATTTCATTCATTTGAAATCCGATTTATTAACGCAAGGCAGGCATCTCAAGTTGATAAGCCAATGAAAGTTATACAAAGTGTAATTATAGGTATAATCAAATAGGACTTTCAAAGTCTGTTCATTACGGGGGGTGGAAATATTATTCTGAAAAGAAAGATTCGGTAAATGAGGTAATTTACTCCTCTCAAGGATTTGTATATGGTGTTTGGCAAAAAAAGTTTGTAATTAGGTAGATAGGAAATTTTACTCCACCAATAAAAAAAGAAATACAGGTATCCCCCTAAGTCTTTTGACTGATGCTGGAAAAAAGCGAACTCACGGTAAACGGTGTTCGCCAAGAGATTGAAAAATGAATTACAATTATATCTAAGTCGGATGTGAGTTGGCGTCAGGAACTGATATTGTGATCATAAAATGCAAGGATATCATAAGGTCAATTATTATATGTAATGACTTCACTTTTGCGGTGAAAGGAAAGGAAGGGAGTTTTGCATTTGTTTCTTTATCAGCCTAATGCATCCAATTATACACCATTTGTTCAGGAATTAGCGATACAAATAATTTAGTTCCGACACTTATTTGACTGTTGAAGATATGATCAATTAGGCGGACTATCGCAAAACAAAAAGTTACTAATTGGAACTTTTTGCGTGTTAAAAACAGTAGTGACATCAAATATACACAATGTTGTTGATGGAGAAACTGAATGTAGTTTTAACATTCGTTTCTTTAGTTTCAGGTAAGTTTTCTATAGAAATTCTGTCGGTAAGAAAACTTCGGTTTTCATACATTGTGATAATAAGCTTAGGCATCCCTGAAAATCACAAAAAGTTTATTATTTATCGAGCCTGTGAAAATATAAAGATGAAGTTTGATACCTAGTTGTTGAGATATATTGTCATTCAAGAATGGCGAATCCTGGAAAAAGTTGGTTACACATCTAGCACCATGGCAAATATTATTACGGGGTCCGTTAAAAAAATGAGGAGAATTTTCATTTTTCTCAAAAATATTAATTTATCAATCTCTGTTTTGCCCCTTTCGAAGTAGCCCCCCTTAGATATAATGAACTTGTGTATGAGTCTTTTCCAACCCTCGAAGTTGGTCTGATATGCACTTGTGTGTGTCCGTCTTTGAGCTTTCCCGGAGATTTGGTTTTTATCTTCTCAATTGTCGCAAAACGCCGTCCTTTCATGAGTATCTGCAATGTTGGGAACAGAAAAAAGTCTCAAGGGTCCATATCTGGTGATTACGGTGGCTGAGGCATGATTACGGTGATGTTTTTGGCCAAAAAATGAGCAGGGTGCATCATCTTGATGCGAAAGACATGAGTTTTTCTACGATACCGGACGTTTTCTTCGTATTGCTTCTCGCAAGCGGCGTGTAACTTCAAGATATGATCAATTGACCGTAGAACCATGTGGCAAGAACTCCTGATGCCGACATCCTCAACAACTTTTCTGATAGTGTACAACATAAAAACATCGTTAATATATCGAATCGAATGAATTTAGCCCGCAAAATTTGAAAATTCACATAATTTATTTGAACAAACCTTGTATAATATCCGTGCTTAGCAGTCTAGTGAGTATTTTTGGAAAAAATTTTATATTCTTGATGAAGTTCAGTTCATAGTTTGAAAGTAACGCATACATTTTTAACCTGGAAATTTCCAAATCAATACCTATTACTTCTTTATATGATACGTCCAAGTCTGGTAGTCATGAGTTATGTGAAAAGTTATAGGAATTCAAAACAGTAAATGTTATTGTATAGAAAACTAAAATACTCTTGAAGCGAAGGGTAGCAAGACCCCCGTTTCTTATTGAAATATATTGTTGGTATCGCTCTCTCTAGGCCAAGAAGTACTAAACAAGATTTCCTTCCATACAATTTCTGCCCGATTTTAATATTTTCATCGAAGAATGAACAAGAATTGTTAAAAAAATAGATGTTCAATAAATTGTTAAAGAAAAACAGAGATACAGTTTTTCCACATACTATTTCCAACTCGTTCAATGTTACAGGTCAGTTCTCTCTACCCAATCCGTTTAAATCCTTGAAATTGCCAACTCCCGACTCTTTTCTGCAAAAACTGTTCAACGTAACCTCAGGCCAACTTGTCGAATTGGTGAATAACTTTTCCTTCGAGGAAATCTTAACAGAACATGTGACGTTCCTTTGGTACCAACCAGATGGCTCTACAATCCCTCTGAATTTGAATTGTGACGGCTACCATGTCGATAAGGATGCACCAATCAAGTTCGTTGTACATGGCTGGCAGTCCTCAGGTAAGAAGGTGAAAGGAAGCCTAACAATATTTGAAGTAATGTTTAATAGTTTTGATAACGAAGCTACTAGCTTCGAAAGAAAGTACCAAGGAGGTTAAATTTTCGGGTAGATCTGCGAGTGAATTTCGAAACTACCGAACATAATGTTTCTGCGAGATCGTCTGAATTATCAAAGCTTGTAACACGCCCTTTTTGAAGTGTTTTATATTCATTGTATTCATTGTCATCTCTTAGAGAGAAATACAGACAACTCAATTCAATCATATTATGCATGAGAGACACATTTATGATACGGGTGGCCCCACAAGTAAATTTCATGAATTTCTAACAAATTGGATAGGCAAAGATAAAAACGTAAGGCAACGGTAGAACTTCATGAAAAATCAAGAGGGGTTAGCATGGTTTATTGAAAGAAGCTCCAGCTTTTATTACTAGTATAATACCTTTTTTCTGTAAGAGAAAGGCGTTTTGAACATGTGAGGATTCACTTCATAATAGCGTTCCATACATTAAGTGAGAATGGAATAACCAGAGGCAGGATGTTAGTAAAGTTTGACGACAGAGACATCTTTTCAGGTGAAGTTGATTTGATAACTTTTGCACAGTTTTTCGAGGTGAAAACCCCTATTGAAGTTAGTCATCAATTGTGATGCCCAGTGAACCAATTTGGCTACATCTTCTCCTTCTTCAATTTCCTCAGTTATATCTCTCACTGTTCTGATAATATCCATATTTACCCACCGATATGATATGTGCAATAAGTTTTCAGGTAGAATGACATTTGCAAGTAGTTCATTAGTATATTGTGGCCTTTCTGCAAATATGTCTTCTTCTTGTAAGTTATATTCAGGTTAGGTTAGGTTAGGGTGACATTTGACAAGTAGAATGACAGGTACAATGACATTTGCAAGTGGTTTATTGGTATATTGTTAACCTTCTGCAAATATGTCTTCTTGTATGTGAGTGTTATTCAGGTTAGGGAGTAGGGAGTGGGACCGTAAGATTTTATTTAGGCTCACACCAATTACAAGTAATTTCAGATTTTCGACAAAGCCAGTTACTGTACTTGGATAATGACATTTTACGATAGATGGTGACAGTGAAACCTTAGTGGATCCCCAAGCTTACGTGCGATTGAAAATAATTAAAATACAACTGTATTATATTATATTATATGTCGAGTTTAATTGAGTTTTTATCATTTTTCCACTTGCTTGTTGACCTGGTACTCAAGAATCTAAAGGAATTTTCCCGATACAGTTGCTTTTATATTTCTTGCGGTTCTTCTAGGAGATCAAGATTTTGTGAAGGACATGGCCAAATCCTACCATAAAATAGGAGTTCACCACGTATATGGAGTAGATTGGTCGCCTCATTCAACAAAACATTACTTGCATTCTGCACGAGGCACGAAAAAAATCGGAGAAATTGTTGGCCAATTCGTTATGAACGCAATCAGCAACAACACTGACTTCTTGAGAAATGTTCATCTGATTGGACATTCACTTGGGGCTCAAGTATCTGGATTTGCTGGGAAACACATACAGGAATTGACCAGTGGGTTGAAGGTCGGGAGGATAACAGGTGAGTTGGAAAAATTAAAACCTTGGTTAGTGCATCAGAATGAAAATTATCACAGATTTTATCCTAATTTCCTGAATTTTGAAACTCTAAATGAATAAAATCTGAAATTGTCAACTCTTTCCTAATTCAACCGACTTTGTATCGCTTACCTCGGAACGACAACTCTCAGAAGTCGAAACTTGTGCAAGCTGAGGTCTCACCTTTCAACGTGCGATTCCTAACATATGCCTGTACATTTTTTTCAAATAATTTTGTGTGGCACTACTGTTTTTAGGTTTGGATGCTGCTAGTCCACTTTTTGAATTTCCCATTCCGTTACCGATACATTTGAGGATCAACAGGGAAGATGCCGCCTACGTAGACGGTATCCACACTAATGCTGGGTTTCTAGGGTATTCAATACCTTTTGGAAACGCAGATTACTACGTTAATTATGGCGGACCTGTACAGCCTGGTTGTTATGACATCAACATTTTCGAATCTTGTGAGTAAAAAATGATATGAACACTCTGTATATAATTTGTACCTCGTTTCATTTCGCTGAATAGTTGGAGAGTATTTTTTGATTCAGAAGTTTCGGCCGTTTCAATGTTACTTGTTTTTGTAGCTCCCTATCTCAAAACATTTTTATTCTATTGTTAATTTTTTTGCAAATTATCATTTTTTGATTTTTTGCCCCTCTTCAGCTCATCACTATACGATAAGAACTAGACTGACCGTCTCCAACTTGTTTAACGATACTCGTGATAGTTTCGCTGCATTTTTAATGCAAATTTCTTCAAATTATTCTATTTTTTAGTTGTCTGCAGTCACGGAAAAGCGCATAGTATTTACACTAAGACAATCACAAACAGAAAATACCAAGCAACGTCGTGCAGCAATCCTTTATGGGCTGCAGCCAGTCTTTGCAATGGAAATAAGAAAGTTGTTATGGGAGAACATACCACAAGAGAAGCCGAAGGATTGTTTTACATAAATATTGACGAAAAAGATGCGCCAAAGAAGGGAAAACTAGGGATTTCGGGGCTCATCAATAAGATACCAGGGTTGGGTTAAAGTTTGTACTTTTTTGTGTGAAATAAAGAACCACCATGCAACATGTTTTATTAGTTTGACTTGTACATTAGGAACCGGATTATCCTAGAATATCTAAGATAAGGCGAGGCTCCCAAAGGCGATCAGTTGCGACAGCCACCGAAAATCGTCCCCTGTCTTCCACTGTGGGTTCCACTGCAAGGCAACTAAATGAGAACAGAGCTCATAACTTTGTTTCAAACTAGTTTACGAACCGGACATAACAAGTCTTTGCTTGACAGAGCTAGCTGTGTCTCTAAATATGGATGTGCAGTAGATCATCCGACAGTGTGACGAGAGCTCATTAACATCAAGGAACTCGTGTAGTGAACATCGTGGTAGTATAGTAAGGGGAGAAATTATACTGTGTGGTGAACTGTAAGTTGTTTTTGAAATGTGCAAAGGCGGATGGAATGAGAGTTTCTCTTACGAAGGTTAGGAGTAATAATGATGATGAGTGAAATTGTAACCAATATTGTATTTCAACTAGTTCAAGAACTAGTATAGCTAAGGCCACAGGGGTTTGCGTGTGAACTGTGCAAAGAATCAAATCGGAGATGAAAAAACAGTGAATGGCGAGGAAAAACATTTTCAACTCCTACTAAAAAAAATAGTCTCAAAAGTTTCAAAATTGTGATGGAATTCAGCACCTATACACCTATTACCGACTCTTTCAGATCATCTGGAAAGTCACTGTCCACCAAACTGATTCATTAGTAAACAAATATTCCTAGAAATGATGTCAATAAAGAAGTGAGGAGCTGGAATTGTTGAAGAGAACCATTCCCCTGCAGGTCGATAACTCATTTATGAATCAGCGGACTACCGGCACGCTCAAAATATTTGTACAGCCGGTAACGCGTCGTTCAGTAGCAGTTTCAGGGAAACGGTGAAAGGAGTGGCAACATGGCACAAACATGCGCTTTTGGTAAGTGGGCCACCTCTCATACCTCAACCCAACCTACATCAGGGTATCGATTGTCGCATCGTCTTCGTCGTGCTTGCTTCGAATGCCGAGATGAAATCTAGTTTACATGGAATGCTCGTTAGGATGTGATTTATTCAAAATATAGTTAGGAACTTCGGGTGGATTTTCATGATTTTTGCTCATAAACAACTACTGTCGCGACGAATCTTGGGTCTTATCTGGAAAATGCTACAGACATTGATTTTTACTAATGCGGGGTCTGCCAAAAAGGCTGTACCACTTGATATGAATTTCTATGTACTGATTTCTCGAAATGTGTTTTCTTTATGAAGGTTTTCACGTTCCCGTAGGTGCCACTGAGTCCTAAAATTCTCAGTCCACCCGCTTTCTTGGCTAAAGAGTCGGCAATGCAATTACCTTTACAAAATGAATTACGGACTACTACACTCAAACCAGACACACACCATACGAGGTCCGGCTATTAAACAACGAGACTGGTTACAAAAAAGGGTTTCATTATAAAAATTATTCTACTTTCGAATGCTTCCCTTCAATATACTCCTCTCCCCCCGTCACACCTTTCCATACGTTTTTTCCATCCAGCGACTCAAATCGGGCCCCTTTCAAAGCAGGTTTTATCTTCGGAGACAAAAAAAAGTCACACGGTGCCAAATCTGGCGAGTACGGAGCTTGTTCGAGCACTGGAGTGCGTTTATCAGATAGCGCTTCATAGATAGCGTGTTATGTGCAGGTGTGTTGTCCTGGTGCAAAATCCACGAGTTGTTCTTCCACAATTCGGGCCGTTTCTTACGAACTCGTTCTCGCAGTGTTGCCAAAACTGACAAATAGTAGACAGTCTGACCCTCTGAAACCCATTCAGTAATCACGATACCTCAAAATCACGCGCACGGGATAGAGAATTGTCCCCATTGGCCTCTTGCAATGATTTATAGCACTTAGCCGGAGTTTTTTCAATTCGATGAGAAAAAAATTGAGATTGATACTGGAAAACTACCAGTTTAAATATGTAATTGTTTGTTCGCTTCTCCGTTTGGGCTAGCCTGACAATCGTGTCTACATCATCGCAAATTCCACGCCCTTTCCATCAGAAACAGAATTGTCAACTTTATCTATATATACTCGAAAGTCACAGGTCCCAGGACTGAACCTTGTGGTACTCCGACTGACAGAGATATCCGATGAGAGTATTTCCAGCCACCTCATCCTGTCAATCAATGTACCTCAAGGGCAAACCACTAAAGGTGACCGCTCTGAACGTGTCGCCCCCGTCGGAAGCGATGACTTTGCAGGATCCAACGTGTGAATAACCCCGAAGCCCTGCTCGGCTGTCCGGCAACCCGGCAACGCCGCCTCGAGAGCTCTAACAGGCGTCGAGTGCGTCAGCGCTCAGTTGTTATGAGGACGCCTTCGACGCGTCTGTCCGCGCTCTCTAATACCCGCCGGAAAGAAACCAATCGGGGGGGCGATCGACCGTGTGGATGTCTCTCTCGACGAGGGCCCACGGGGCGGCATGACTGAGGAAGAGTTGGTCTACAATGTCACCGTCGTCGACACGTCCTGTCTCTCCGAAAGGAAGTTCTGGTGTTTCCTGCTGTCGTCCATTTGCACCTTCCTGGCAGGACTGCTCATCGTCCTGGTATGGAGGCTGTTCGCGTTTCTGTGCTGCAGGAGGGAGACCGACCTGGGGCCCAACGACCCCAAGCAGAAGGAGCAGAAGGCGGCCAGGCAGGGCAAGCAGGAGTTCGAGGGGACCTTCATGACGGAGGCTAAGGACTGGGCGGGGGAGCTGATCTCCGGGCAGACAACCACCGGGAGGATACTGGTAAGGGTAGAAGGACGAAGTGGTTCTGGTTTGTTGCCGATGGTGTGCAGTTGTGATAGTCTGATTGCTACGAAAAGTCGCTAGGAATGAGACAAATTGACAGCTTGATCACAGAACAAAGAAACCGACTCTTTTTTGATATTTTAGACCGTTTCTGGGTTCCTACTTCTCTTTTAGCTCATTAAAAAATCACAGAACAAAAAGAAGCGTAGCAATAAAAAGTTTGTGGGAGAATGTTTAGATCTTTCATGGGTATTTCTTGTACAAAGTGGGACACATTTGGAGGGAAACTGCTGTTTTTAAACTAGATAGATGAAAACTGGTGACTGTGTCTGGGAGTCAAATTTCATGAAAAACCTAATGGTGAAAATCGTATATTTTCAATGAGACGCCCTGTATATTCCTGCATATTTCAATAGAGCCCAAAATTACCTTTTCAAAAATGTAGCACACTTTATGTTTTGCTACAGTCATCTTTGAAATACAGAGCTTTTTGGGTTTCTACTTCTTTTTCAGCTCATTAAAAAATCACAGAACAAAAAGAAGCGTAGCAATAAATAGTTTGTGGGAGAATGTTTAGATCTTTCATGGGTATTTCTTGTAAAAGTGGGACACATTTGAAGAGAAACTGCTGTTTTTAAACTATATATATGAAAACTGGTGACTGTGTCTGGGAGTCAAATTTCATGAAAAACCTAATGGTGAAAATCATATATTTTCAATGAGATGCCTTGTATATTCCTGCATATTTCAATAGAGCCCAAAATTACCTTTTCAAAAATGTAGCACACTTTATGTTTTGCTACAGTCATCTTTGAAATACAGAGCTTTCTGGGTTTCTACTTCTTTTACAGCTCATTAAAAAATCACAGAACAAAAAGAAGCGTACCAATAAAAAGTTTGTGAGAGAATGTTTAGATCTTCCTTGGATATTTCTTATACAGAGTGGGACACATTCAAAAGAAAACTCATGTTTTCAAACTAGATAGATGAAAACTAATGACTGTGTCTGGGAGTCAAATTTTATGAAAAATTTAATCGTTNTAATATCGTACAATCAAAGGACAACATAATTGTTATAAGAGTGACAGAGACTACAGAAAAGATAACAACTTATCAATGACGATTTTTTCATCCTGCATTCGAAACAGTCCAAAGATATTTCAAAACATTGAATATTGTTGCAAAATTCTTCGAAGATTTCAAGCATTCCATGAAATGGTGAATTTTGAGCAACATTTGACCTTGTACAAGTTAACTTATAGATTTCTGTACGCCTCAATGTTCTCTTCTGAACATTTTGGAATAAAGCTTTGAACAGCGAACTATTCTTCTCATTTATTCGAAAATTGTGATGAGATTCGTGACAATTCTTCCATACTTCATAGGCTAAAGACTCACACATAATTTGGTAGAAACAATTAACGACAAATTCACAGAGTCACACATAAAGTCAGCAACATATGAATTTTTTTATTATAGATATATGGATTCATTCATTCACATGTTTAAACTGTATTAATAGTTGATGTTAATATAAAATTAGTAATATTATAATACATTAAACACACACAGTGTTGGATTTGAATTACATCAATTTCGAATTCATCTCCAGTAAAATTCTTGGAGAAAAAAATTATCAAAGAGGATGCAAATCTTTTGATAAAATGAAATACTATTTGATAATAACGTTTTTTCGATTGCTGACATTTTAACGTCCATACATTGAAAATCCGAATACGTTTCATAAGAAAACTAGATAAACTTTTTGTTTTCTTCTTTCTGTTATATCATTTATTTTCACTTGTACACTGTTTATTATATGTATATTCATCCGAAATGTGACCAAGATTTTGAAGAGACAATCCATATACCGATTTTCATGATATTCAGGCTTACTTTTTATTACTCATTAATACAATTTATTGTATGATTTTCCACTATAAAGGGTTTTACAAGAAGAGCCGGTTCTTATAATACCCTTTATAGTGAAAATCACCGTCCCAGAGGAAGAGATAGGAGAGCCAACATCAAAAAAGCACGCCTACTTCTATCAAATGTCGAAGTTTTGCTCACTGTTTTCTTCGATTACCGTGGCATAGTGCATCAAGAATTCTTGGCCAAAAATAACATCGTAGTCATGCTTCAGCCACCATATCCACCAGATTTGGTCCCCTGTGATTTTTTTCAGTTCCCAGGATTGAAGAGACCCACGATACAAGTGAATTATATTTGAAGGGGACTACTTCGAAAAGGACAAGATAGGAATTGATGGATAAATGAAGATTCACCTTATTTTTTGAACAGGCAGCGTATATGGAATAAATGAAAAACAGTGCTGACGTAAAATCCCTCCCATAATGAGTATATATCGTATATAGTTGTCGTAGATAAGGAACATTTTTCATTGTTGCCAAAAAAGTACGGGGTTCCACGAGGCGCGGTTTTGAGTCCACTACTAGCTTCGCTCTATATGTAAGCGATTTCGAAGAGTTTTTCAGAGCTATTTTATACGTGTTTTTCAGTTTCTGCGGCATTGCAGCTGTAGAAGAGAACACAAACATGAATTTTCAGAACATGTTCAATGTTTTAAGCGCTCAGAACTTGAAACTTAATTCAACAGAATCACAAGTCATACTTTTTGAAACCAAAAACGAATGCAATGAAATTGGAGTTCATAGGAACTCTACACGCAGTGGTATACGAAAGACTATTGATGTGAAATGTGCAATTCAATGTTGATGTGAAAGTAATTTTTCTACAGTATCTTTTTCTATGTATCTTTGTGAAGATTCTTGGTAGGAAAGTCACATCTCACAAGTTTCTACAAATGAAAAAAAAAATACGCAGACTTCTGTTCTCAGAAAACATTTATAATTTAGTATCTTGTTTTCACCGACAAAAAAATCAGTTTTTGATGAAATCGATAAGGCTGAAGACAAACATCTTCCTGACAGATGCGGCACGTGTAATGAAGAGGAATTGCAATTGCGTTGGTTTTATTTCACGTAGTGAATCACTTTGAAGGTTAGGGTCACACTTTTGCTACTTCAGCTACATAAGTTTTCACTCGAGTGAAGTTATTATTATCATTCCCAAGCTCACTATGACATACATGAAATAAGTAAAAAAATTGTTCATGTTAAACGGTTTCATTGACTGATGTACTAAATAATAATTCTGAAGGTCCTAAGCAGCAGTTATCACACCACTCTCCTCAGCAATCTACGGTATGATTAGATAAAAATATAATAAAAAAATTGGGCGTAGATTGCTGAGGAGACGGACCGAAGAAGAAGGGCTTAACATAAGCCCATCCAAATCGACCATAGTAGCATTCACCAAGAGGACTAAAATGGAGGGTCTCAGATCTCTAAAACTTCGAGGTGAAGAAATACAAGTGTCGGGGGAGGTTAAATATCTGGAAGTAATCCTAGATTCCAAACTGACCTGGAACCAACACTTGGACAGGATAAAGAGAAAAGCGGAGGTAGCACTGATGCTCGCCAGACGCACCCATGGAAAAACACGGGGGCTAAAACCAGACATGGTATATTGGCTAAACACGATGGTTGTTAAACCCATGACAACATGATAACGCATCTCTGGTCTGGTGGCTGAAGATGAAGCAGGCGACCGCCTTCAACAAACTAGGCAAGGTACAAAGACTTGCATGTTTGGGAATATGCTGATGAATGCGCGGATCATCAACATTATATATAGCTGAACCAGCTCTGGGGTACCAAAATTATTGGTAAGAAACCAGATTAGGACATGGACCAATAAGAAGCACACATAGTACTGGACAAAAGTACCTGGCAACAAACACAGTTGAAGCTTCATTAGGGAACCGTCCGAGAAAAGAACCGAAGAACTACTTCAATATAGTAGGGATCGGTCATTGTCCGCTTAGAGGACACCTGAATAAAATGGGGCTGTACAATGGAGACCTCAGCTGCAGATTATGCAACGAAGGGATAGAAACAGCTCTACACATCTTATGCGAATGTAAGGCACTGAATCAGACAGGCAATATACGGACGTATGCAATTACGTCTAGAAGAATATGACGAACAGCTAATACGGAACTTGTACAAACTAGTACAGGGAACAAGACTGATGGAATAGGTGTCATGAGAAGATGAGAAAATAAACGCAATGAGCCCAAGAGACTGCAGTGTTTCCTGGAGACTTTGACTAAATGGACAAGTTAGACAGCTCCCAAGGTACCAAAAAAAAACGTATTGATCAGATAAAAATATAATAAAAATTGGGCATAGATTGCTGAGGAGAGTGGTGTAATGACTGCTACCTAGGACCTTCCGAATTATTTTTAGTTCTTAGTACAGTATCTACATCATGAGAAACGAAACTTTCTATGAGTAATGACTACATCAATCAATTAATTTTTTTCAAAAAACCATTCAACATATTTTTTTACCTATTTCATGTTGAAGTTTCCAAGCCCTGTCTTTTGATACCCATATTGAGATAATTTGTGCTCCAAATATCAGATCAATTTGTCAACAGGAGGGGGGTCAAACTCCAAATTACTAAATTGAACCCAAACAAATAAATGAACAAATAAACAAACAGAGCAAGCTAAATAAAACCGTTCAATCAATAAACATAGAGGGTGTTTTCAATTCCTGCCAAACACATCAGGACATAATTCTGTGAAGAGCGTTAGAATTATAATCTGTCATGAAGCTTTCATTTTAAAAATTGCTCCTACATATCAAAACATTTGTTTTTGGGTAAGACTTTGAACTGAATATTCGGCCTTGACAAAAATAACTTTGGAATTCACAATTTTCGGGCTATTCTGAGCCATCTGGAACACGAAGAGTGCACTGTACAGGGTCGGCACAATATAAAATCTGCTGATGGTGACTACGAATGGACTGCTAAGTTTTTCAGAATTATTAATATATCAAAATTATTTCGTTCAATCTTCTACGAAATCATACGGTGCATTTTTTTAATTCGAAAACTACTGTAAACGGTTTTGAAACGACATCCAGGAATAGTTCAGTTACTCAGTTAATCCTAGATCACCCTGTATATTACGTACCCAGATGTTCTCATCATTTAGTCCAAGCAGGCAAAGCGTGAAGTCAAGCCCATGTAGGTGAGAGGTCTTGTATTTTAAAATTATAAACCAGGCACGAATGAAATCATCTTTATGCTGAAGTTATGACAATTTAGTTCGATTGGTATTCAAATGATCGCACGATTAGCTCATATGTTTTCTTGCGAATTGTGATTTGACTAATTATTGAATTGAATCACTCTAACTGTCGACATAATTTGGAGGAAGAAAGTGACACATTAGGAGTGACTTCATGAAAAATTTGAAGAGGATTCAACTAATCAAAATTAGGTTTGTGAAATTAAGACTTATAGTTTTCTTTAAGAGAATTTCAGATATGCCACGTCTAGTATCACATCACATGTTCCGGATGATGAAAATTCAGTTCATATGCTACATCTTCGTTATTGAGAAGATGTAGCATATGAACCAACCATTTGGTTGGTTCTTCTTCTGTTCTTCTGTGTTCTTCTGTGCCTTGACACAGGTCTTCTGATACGAATCTAGCTATAGAATATTCATTCGAAGCCAAGTGCAATGTAAATACTATAAAAAAAAATTCGTTCAGTATTGTCTGAGGGTAAAAGAATAACAAGAATGCAAACATGTCGCTACATCAAAGCAAGTAACATATTCGTCTCAAGCAAATAGCACTGCAAATCACGAACAAAATCATTGAGATATGTCCACCCTCTCTATTAATCTAGTTGAATGGAAAAACATAATTAGTCTAATCGAAAAGTAAATGACGTCCTGTTATTGATTAGGGCTAGATAGATTGATAATCAACTTCTCGTAGCTCCCCTCTTGCTCGTGGGTGCAGGAAAAGGAAATACTTTTTCGTTTCTAATGATGTTTGACAAATTAAATGGAATGTTCCCTGACAAACGATTATTTTATTTATTGAACATGCGTGGGTGTGGCAGTCTAGAATTGAAAAATCAATCGACCAACCACTAATGATCAACAACTTGCATTAGTTTGTGAACTTGTGTGTTCGAACAATTCAGGGATATTAACAAAATTCATGGAAACAATAAATCCACTGTTGAAGTAGAAGCAGACAAGTCAAACTCAATCAATTTCTTGGACTTGACAATTAGCAGAATGAACAACAAACATGATTTTTCAATCTATCATAAACCTTCCCATGAAAAAGTGGCTTCGTTTTTGAATGAACAAGATATTAAAATTGCATATAGAGAAAACAAGTTCAACATATTCAAATCATCTTTCAGAAGAAAATCATGTCTCTACCGGAGATTTTGAAATCTCATACATTCTATACTGATATTGTAAATTTGAAAGTTTGTTAGGATGTATGTATGTATGTTTGTGACTCTCTCACGCCCAAATGACTGAACGGATGAAACTTTACATAAATACAGCTTATACAGCAGAATAACGCGGGCAGAAGGTGAGGCAGATGTTGCTGACGGTTGTGTTAGTTTCACGAAATTTCTTTATAGGTAACATAATTAGATTCTCGTAGGTATTCATCACTCAGTACAGTTGGCATATTTTTTCAGTTACTGTATTTTTGAAGCGAAAATATAAATCACCAGCTGTTGCCCACCCTTATATTAACATACAGCCGTAGCTACTGAACATAAAATGTTGAAATATGCAGGTTGGTTCTTTGTATAGCTTAAATAAACATCAAGAAAGGAAATCGGGAATTCCCACCCCCCAAGGGGGGAGAAGTGAGGGTTCAAAGATTGCAATGAATTCCCTCAGTTTTGAAGTTGAGAACCTGAAGAATTGGGTGATTAAAAAAACTATTTGTTCAAAATGGTCTGTCACGAAACTGAATGTGACAAACCAAATTCTACGCGAGCGACGCCGCGGGCAATAACTAGTAGCAAATGAAGGTTTGAAGCTTAATTATTCAAAGGCAATGGAAATTTATAAACTCAGAAATTTGAACATTTTGAAAACTTTACTGAATGACCAATTTATTTAAATAGATCACCATTATTGAACCTCTTTTTAGAAACCAACATTGTATCATTGATGTAGAATAATAGAGTATATAATAGAATTACTTTTTAGTAGGTCATTCACTATGAAAAAGCTAATGTGAAAATAAAGTTTGTGGTGATGGATACCGTTCTCTACGAACAGAAGATCGAAGAGGTTCTTCAGAAGGGACGATACTCGAAAGATCGTACGAGACCCTACTGCATCAATTGAAAGGAAGTTGTACCAGAATTAGAAAAAAAACCAAGTCTATTTTTCGGACAAGGAAAGATCATCGCTAACACCGCACCACACTAAGCCCCCTCACTTGTATGGACTACCCAAAATCCACAGGAAGGACGTTCCTCTTTGACAGATCATCAGCTCCAGAGATTCGGCTACTCAAAACTTGTCTAGATTTTTACTTCCCGTAATACAACCATTACAAGGAAAAACATCGTCTTTTGTGGAGAATTCAAGNTTTTCAGCTATTCATTTTCAATTCTTCTTTTTTAGTTGTTTCAGGGATTTCAAATCATTCTATATAGTAGACAATGTAAGTCCGAACTAGTGAAATTCATCATGAAACATTGTCGATCAAGCTCAAACCTATGATTGAAATGTAAAAATTAATTCTGATAAATCAGTTTATTGTATGACTTTTACTATGATGATATTGTATGATTATAGTAAAAATCATACGAAAAACTGTATCATTGAGTTTCAATTTGGATTTTCATCAAGTATCTATTCAGTTTTATTCAATTAAGTAAAATTAATTGATGAAAATAACATCTGTATCATCAGGTCTGTCTAGAGTTCATTTGAGGCTATTTCAAAATATACCTACACATAATTTTTCCCTGACTATAACATTCGTTTTTGATCTGACTGGGAGAGGATTCCCATTATAAGTTCTAGCGAATCTGAATGAATTTTTCAGAATGATTGCACTTAATGTCCGACAGAAACAGTTTATTTTTAAAACTCATACTCAGATTCATGAATCGAAACTCTAGAATCAACTGTATCTGATTTTGTATCTCCCCATTCAAATATGCCTGCTACTTTGACGATTCATAGTAGTAGTTTATCTGAAAATATGCCGGTTGTTAGTATATTATTGATTATATGATTCATTGATGTATGGATATTTTTTTTAAGTTTGAAACAAGTGGCTGTCGATTAGTTGAGTTCTTATCAGTTATTCCTTACTATGTATTGGAAGAAAATAGTTTTTCCACGCAAGAAGTTGAGCACTGTCTCATAACCCACGTTTCGTTGTACAATTTAGCATCATCGGGAAATGATAAAACTGAATCAAGTAAGTTAGTCTCTCATTATCTTCGGTGCGCTGTTAAAAAATAGGGATAATGTTCAAATTTCGCGGGCTTTTTAACACTTGCGGCATGAATCTACTATTAGTCAATATCATTCGCGTAGCGGTTGTTTTAACAAAATTTTTTTCTGTCTTTCATGGAGAGAAATCTAGGAAGAATCCACAATTTTCCTGGAGAGCATTCATTACATTCCTTTTTTACACTAATACTTCTTCATTTGTTTCAGGTTGTCCTAGTATTCATCCTAAGCATAGCGTCGTTAGTTATTTACTTCATAGATGCCTCAAAGTGAGTATAATTTTTCGTTCAGAACGGGGTAAAAATCTTAAGAACACTCGGTAAAGGTCAGCATATCGGAGAGCTGAAATAAGTGAGGTCTCCAATTAGTAAATGAAAATATCATAGTAGCCATGCAATCGTTCGTGCATAATTGCTGTTCCAAAAGTGATCGTGAATTTCACACCGTGGTACTAAAAATAGAGAATAATTGCCGTTATAATTCTTTGTAAACCGTGTCTGAAGCTGTGATAGGCTTCTATGGCCAGTTGATGGCTTTATTTTCGAACTTATAGATTCCACAAATGAATGGGCGATTGATTCTTCCAGTCATTAAAAACTGATGAATTGGTTGAATATTGGTTTAGCCATCAACAATCTGTCGTTTTTGAACGATACTTTTCTAGCATCGATACGTGTGCGGGCTGAGCATTACCGGGGTCTTGAATTTCAACATGTGATTCCTAGCACCGATAGTCCTAGAGTTGGGATCGAACCAACTTTTACAGTGGCGCTACTTAACTGTCTACCGTTGGACGAATTGAAGTGTTGACGAGTCATCCTGATTTCATCCAGGTTTGGAGACCAGCTCCTCTACCCTTTTGGCTGATCATTGGCCTTGAGAGGGACCAATGGGTACACAACTGATAGATGACGGCATGAAGTCCTTAGACATCAGTGCCGCCCTTCACGGGATACCCCTACCTGGCTGGGGTGGGATGGATGAAAAAGTTATTCATCCTTTAACGGGGGACATGAGGGCCTCATTCGACAGAGTGTCGAGGCCTTCTATATCGGGAGGGGTCGTCTACAGCATAATCTGTGGCTTCCCTAACTAACTGACGAATTGAAGTGTGGAAAATATTACAAGCGGTATGAAGCATTGTTGCTGATCCTCATTGTTGACTGCCCTGTATTTGAGGAAGGGTGAGGTAAAATAATGTATAGAAACGAATGTGTATAAAATTAATTGAAATTATTAAAAGGTATCGTTATAAAATTCTTGCAAACTATAATATGGCCTCTCGATAAGAAAATCCTTTGTAGATTTTCGAAATTCAGTACAGTTTACTACGAATTTCAGGTAGTTAGGAAGATGATTATGCATCTTGAGACCATTATACAATTTAGAATTCTTAATTAAAGTAGTGTTAGGTATGGAAAGACTTAAGTTTAGGGTCTGGCGTGTGGTGTAATGAGAGACAATAGAGGAAAATTTTTTTCTATGTTTATGCACTGAACAAACTGTTTCTAAAATGAATAGAGCATACAGTGATAAAATTTTGTTTGCTACAAACAAAGGCCTACAAGAATCTCGCTGCCTGGCTCTACAGAGAAATCTTAATGACCTTTTCTGCAGAATGAAAATCGACTCGAGCCGAGTTTGATTACTTACCCCCCAGAAAGGGATCCCATATCTTAGATGTGATTGTACTAATGAATAGTAGACAGTTTTAGCTGCAGTTAGTCCTAGTTCGTTAGAAGGTATTTTCACAGCATAACATCCAGATGAAAGTTTTTTGTTAAGAGATAATATATGGTCCTCAAATTTCAATTTATTATCAATTAATAACCCAAGAAATTTTTTGTATGACGTGTTTTCAATCACATTCGAATTCGAAGCTAGATGAATATTATCAAAAATGCAATTAAAGGATAAAACTTTAGTTTTTGAGACATTGAAAGCTAATAAATTTGCCTTACACCAATCTGGAAGTTTGGAAATATCAGAGCAAATGGCATTATATAGATGATTTGTGTTGGTATTGCGCCATAATATTGTAGTGTCGTCGGCGAATAAAGTAAATTCACCCTCTATATCAATGGTAGTCAAGTCATTGATATAGAGTAGAAATAGGGTAGGTCCCAGTACTGATCCTTGTGGTACTCCGTTAGATATATCAGAAACATCAGATTCCTCATTCTTGATGAATAAATAACATGTATTTGTAAAAAAAATCGCACTTCACCACGAATAATTTGTTTCTTGTGTAAAACAAAAATGGCCAGTCCATACTGCAGAGCGATGCTATAAAACTAATTATCGATATTGTTGCACATGTATTCTTCGATAATAATAGTGAGTATGCTTGGTAACATTCATCAACTTTGACAATTCAAAATGTAGGTGAACATTTCTCACTCCAATTACACTCCAGAACTATTTCACGATAAAAAGGAACACTCACGATGTAGACAAGTGACAGAATGCTTAAACCAATACAAAACATTTTGTTACAGATTCATTTGTCATGAATACTAACAAATTCTTCATATTTTGAGCATATCACACCAACCCTCTTGGGAAAAAATGGAAAATACTTCCAAAGGCTCCAAATTCAAACTTTGTTATCATCTCAATAACCCTAATCATTCTCCTGTGCTAGTTGACAGTTGACAGCGAACTAGGCTTTTGTTTCAACGATGTTCACGGATGATAGAAGGAACAGTTTGAGGAAATAAATCGGCAAAGAGACGATAACTGAAGGAACTTGAATTCTAAATACATCGGTGAATTATTCGTGGTCCTAACAAAGTAATCATAGATCGGCATCAAATAACTTCAATTCCAATTCTTGTATATGTGGTAGCTATGCATTATCGAAACCTTTTGCTAAACATTCAAAACAACTGTTTTTTTTTCAGTGACGGTGTGGAACGCTGCCAAGAGTGGAGCGACAATGTCACTCAACAAATCGACCTTGCCTTCAACATATTTTTTATGGTGTATTTTTTTATACGAGTAAGTATGTTTCGTGTTAGTGATACGTGTAGAATACTTTCCAATATTACATGCTGGTGATCTTTTGGGTTTACTGTTACAATGCTGTGTAAAAATTTGCAGTTCCCATGTGGAAATTTTGACCAGTTCACAAGAGCTTCTTTTGAGCATCAAATTGTTCGAAATCCATCTGAAACGTAAGTTTGTCACACCTCAATATTAATGCAAAATCGAGTGAATTGCTCTGTATAATGCCACATTCGAAAAAGATCGATGCTTAGATTTCTATCAAACCAAGTCGATTTTTTTCAAGATCTTCACTGGTCTGAAAAAACTCCCGTTTTTGCCGAAGATGTACATGTCCTTAGCAAAGCAAAATTTGGGATTTGAGGTCGTTTACAGTGGATTGTTGATAGTACATAGAGGGGCGACAGGTGGGTAACGATAAAACAGATTTTAAGATAGTTTTTCTAGGCAGCATAGACCTGCAACTTCTGCTTTTGAAGTCACGGAAGATATTCTATCATCCAGGGATACATCTATTCCTTTTTCAATGGAACCTACTTCTAATGGCAAACCTTGGTTCAACAAAAATTGCGAGCAAGCTGTCGCTTTCAAGAATCTCACCTATTTGCAGTAACGCAAAAACCCCAGTGCCGAAAACCGAACTAGGTTTTCAGTGTTGCTATCGTCATTGGAGTTTGAAGAACGTCTTAGTTTGGAACTGCATACTAACATTTCGCCAGCATGAGTGGCTGGCTTCTTCAAAGGTTTATTCATCTTGATGATTCAGCGATGACTGATGATTTCTAGTTGGTAGGTTGTATTTATGTTGACTCAGGTAGTCCGCCTCTCTTGTTGATGTGTTGCTATTGGCCGAAGTACGTTGTATTTATGTTGACCGAACTAGGTTTGTTATTGCTCGCAACAGCTGTAAATGAAACCAAAGAACTTCACGGTCAGAGAATTAGGTCCAGATCCTTCTGGTCGGTAGCTGAAGCTGTTAAAACTGAACAAAATCCACTTGAGGTGCCTTGATATGAACAGGGCGTCTGGTCCTGATGAAGTCCCGTCATTGTACTTCAAAAGTGCCCCAATGAACTCGGACCAGAAGTCTGCAGACTTTTCAAACAGTCTTACAAGGAAAGGGTTTTCCCTTCTTGTTGAAAGATGGCTCGCGTCCAGCCTATTCCCAAAAAAGAAAAGAAAAACCTATGGACCAGTTGCTTGGCTATCAGTCATATCAAAAATCATGGGGGAATCCGTAAACCAACATACACTAATGATGCACTGTTTGGAACCTTTGGTGTAGTAATGAGTATTACTGGAGTTTTTTCCCAACACCAAATCGTTATTTTTAACACCCCGACACGTGTTTTGATCACCAAGTGATCATCTTCAAAGAGGAAGGTTAAAACTCAGTTTTAATGGCCGTATGTGGCATGATGGTTTTCTGGCCATACTTCGGATAATTTTTGTGTATGACTCTCCAGCTTCCTGAAAAAACCTTGTCTGCAAGTTCCCGTGTTTTCGTCTTTGAATAAAAAATATCCCAATTCCATAATTCATTTGTACCTTAGGAATTCTCGTGGAGAATCTCATGAAAGTCCACAGGATACTATAATAGAGCTTTTGTAGCTCCGCTGGAACACTGGGTTATGTTTTGATGATGACCAGGTAAGATCCGAAAGATATACCAATTTCAGTATGGTTGAACGTCCATGTTTTCCTCTGGAAGGAACGCAGTACGCTGAAATGTTATCCTGGTCCTGTCCTTGAGGTATCTCAGGATTGTCATAGAACTTTGTGTGGTAAAGAAAATTGTCATTAGCAGAGAACACACGAATATATTATAAAGTGTTTCATGGAAAACAAGTGTCAAATTTCAAACAATTGTACCAATTTAGAACCGTGGAAACTTTTCAGTGAACAATTTAACATAGTGGTACGCTATTTGGATTCACGTTTGTATAGCCATCTCTCTCCGATGTATCGAATGCAAGATATCAGCTCGACAAAACCTTTCTCTAATTGTAGCAGAAGCTAACTTTATATAACAGTATGTGTTTTATCGCCTAAATAATTAATAACACATGTCGTCTAAGTCCCCTAAATCGCTTTTTCGGAGCCTTCGGAAATGCAGAATGCATTAGAAGCGTGTCTCCTGAAACGTCGGCTAATCGTACTTCGCATCTCTCAGACAGAAATCACGTTCCAAATTTTGGCATGGACCCACCTTCATTGTTAATGGTGGTGCCAAATAAAATCATGCACTGTTGTCTCCCATTTGGTGGGATAAATTATTATTACCGTCTCACATGTTGAAAACCCGTGACGATTCTTTTGTTTCGTCGGTTGAAAAACTTAGATACTTCCTCAGGTAAACAAGTAAACAGGGTTGGTCTCGATTAGAGTTGAACTCTCAACTCTGTAGACTGTTGATTTATTCGAGGAGGAGGTGAAGGATATGGCACTACCACTGGGGGCACATCAGCTAAAGCCATCTTGGCACCCACTTCATCATGGAAAAGGAAAATGAAGGAAAAGTACCATTTTTCGATGATCTAGTCGAAAGGAAAACTAGGTTACACAGTTANCTCAGGACATGAATATAGTGATTTTGTTAGAAACTCTGATAATAAACAAAAAAGTACCTGGCAAATTATAAATCATGAGTTGAATAGAAACCCTAGACAAAACCAAACTTGTGACATAAACGGGGATATTTTTAACGAATTCTTCATTAATTTAGCAGAAAATTTTATTTCAGAACTACCCAAAGTCCAATTCGCTTCGAATGATTTACTTAATGGTGCCAAATCATCATGTTCTTCATTCTTTCTTGAACCTGTAACGCCATCAGAAATAATTGATGCAGTGATATCCTTGAACAATTCTTCTTGCTTAGATATTTACGGTATGAACAGTGCAATGATCAAGGGTATAATTGAAGCAATTATAGATCCTCTGACATTTTTGTTCAACTCGTGTATACAAGAAGGGTGTTTTCCAGACATGTTTAAATGTACAAAGGTATAACCTCTTTTTAAAAAAGGGGACAGGTCTCTGGTTGGTAACTATAGACCAACATCAATCATTCCCGTTTTGGGAAAAAGCTTCGAAATTATTTTGAAGAACAGGGTCATGAACTTTTTTAGCAAAAACAAATTATTTAGTGAAGATCAACACGGATTCAGAGCGGGTAGATCAACAACAGATGCAATTCAAAAAACTGTGAGTCTGGTTATCGAGGGTCTTGAGAGAGGTGAACATGTGATATTAACCATGTGTGATCTCTCTAAAGCATTCGACTGCGTTTCGCACGATGTTCTGTTCAAAAAGTGTGAGTTTTATGGAGTGAGGGAGCTACCACTCGGTTTATTTCAGTTGTACTTATGTAACAGAACCCAATCTGTGTGTGTGAATGGAAACATGTCTGACAATAAAACTATCAAGAATGGAGTACCGCAGGGATCCGTCTCTGTGGTTCACAACAAATCAGTTGAAATTAGACCCAGACCCAGAAGGTCTTGTTTACGACCTCAAATACTGAAACCACTGAAAATGACGATGATAGTGCCAAACTACTAGGACTCACTCTTGGCCGGAATTTATCATGGTATGGACACATTGATGAACTGAGTAAGAAGCTGTGTAGGAGTATATTTGCTTTTCGACAGCTAAATAGAGTATTGTCTCTTGACGCCCTGAGAAGTTCATATTTTGCTTTGTTCCACTCACATATGAATTATG